GCATTACAAATGTACTTCATGGCCACCATGTGGCATTTGGATGAGCACCAACATAGCGTCTCCATATTGAGCTCAGTCTATAAAATTATGTCAGACATTTGGGCAAATAACTCAGCACCTGAAAACCCTACATTCCTGAAACTTGGACAAGTTATATATCAATATTCTACAATAGCTCACTCTCTTGGCATCAGGCATTCAATACATTTGACTTTAGATTTCAATTGCATGACAGTGAAAACCACCAATAGATGTTAACCCTTTAACTCCCAAGATCTGATAGTTAATTACTAAATAATTCTTCCCTCTAGCTGCCACACATTTCCTTGTAAATTAGTTATGAGAACTTGGTGCTAGATCAAGATAACAGCTTCTACCTGATAAGTTTGAATATTCTCATTACCTGTTTGCTGAATAATGTATGGATATTATAGGGAGAAGTTTCATGTTAATCACTTCTGGGAGTTAAAGGGTTGAGTCAATGAAAGGCTCCTTGGAGCTACAGTACACTCACATATACATTAACTGCACAGACGAATTTCATACGCTCAGACACAGGGTAGTCAGATGCATATGTACAATTTTTTTGTGTGCATGGTCGAAAAAAATGTGCGACTCATGTACCTTTGTTATAATTCAGTGCTACAAGTTTCCTTTGTATTACATTGTTGTGTGAAACAAAGAACTTTTAGGTTTGAAAAAGCAGCAAGTAGACAACAAAAAATTTACATAATGAAAAAAGCTATCATGTTACACTCTTGTATGTCATGTCACTGTACCTCATGCCATTTCTTGATTATTCAACTAGATGATGAGAACTTTAACCATATGCCATCTCCAATATTTTGTGACATGCCCTTAAACCACCTTCTGATTACTATGTAAGTTTAAAAGTATTTGCTGCAAAGCTAAAAGTAAAAATATGCCTCTGCTTGTAACAATATCTTAAAGATGAGGCTTCAAGACAACTTTTATTTAAAAGCCAGTTAAATTGATGGCTGAACAGTAAGAAAATGTGGAGAATGATGGCCAAATTTAAGCTTGCTGAGCAAGTAAACAAACTTAACTGTACATTAATATCTGATTAATAAAGTTCATGTGGAAGAAACAGGAGCAAAATAGCATAATTGTATAACAAATAAAAAAGTCAAATCCAACGAAATCTACTAAACCTCAAATCAGCTGCTAAATATATGTGAAATATAGCCAAATGACAGCCAAACAGATGAGTGAAAATCAACCTGAAGACAATAATTTCAATTGCTTACACTGTATGACTAAAATATTTCCATATTGATAGCTGCTACTGTTGTCATTGTCAATTTTGATACTGTTTAAAGCCTGTTTCTATCAGTTGAGTATTCTCCACCAAGTTTGGTCTTCATTTGTGAGGTCTACATGTACAAGGGTGTATTTTGATCAAAGATGGAGCAAAAAAAAGGAAAGCACACCTTTATCATTTTAGCTAATGGCCCAACATAAAAGACGTCATTTTGAATTGTGTTCAACTTGATAACTCCAAGTACTCAGGCAAAAATTTTGGCCTTTGTCCCACACCCCCCAGATATTTGAACAGAAGACTATAGTCCAACCTTGGGGACAGTAGAAAACCCAGAAGGGGAGGCAGGGGATATAATGCCACGAGGTAAAAAAGTATCACCACAGACTGTCCTCACTGTTAAAGAACCACAAATTATCTGAGGAACACTAGCTTTAATCTTTGAACATTTGCTGAAATTCAGCCCAAACCTATTTTAGTTTGATCACAAGAATGTATTTTTTCCATGTTTTTCTACCATCAGCGTGAGCTTCACAAATACTCGTCTACACAAATTTGCTTAACAATGGTTTTTAGTGGATATTAGGGCTATTAAGATCTAAGATACTGTCTCAAAACTACAACTCTCTTGTTTTACCTAGTAAATGGTTGTTAAGGCATCACAAGTGTGTTTATGATAAGCAGAGGCATTACTCAGCTCTGTCTTATTTAGCTTATGATAAACTTATCACAACACAAAGATATTTAATTTTCTCTAATAATTAACCTCAATGCCCGTAATCTTCTTAGTCAGAAAAAAAATTGTTTTGATAATTCACCTGACAACCCATTAAAGCAGGAGATTCTGCTTAATAGAATAACCAGTCTTCCAAAGGGCACAAAGATTTTCCCAGCAAAAATCATTTTGAATTTCATTCTTCACCAAAGCAAGGTCAATCTCTGAAGAATAATGAGGATCTTTATGAAATACCCATTCTTGAGCAAAGGATAGAAACTCCTTAGAGAAGAATCACAAAATGACACTCCTCCCTGACAAATATTGAGTCTTCGGGGAGGAACAGTAATACTTCTGATAAACTTGCTTAAATGTGAGATTCTGCTTAAATGAATATCGTATCTTTTGAGGTAAGCAGTGTTTCTATTCAGAAGAATACCTTAATGCCTGGCTCTTGTCAGAAGAGTTTTGTTTTCTTTGGGTAGAAAAGGAGAGGGAGGACTGCAGTCCTTGCTTGAGTACCTGATTTCTTCTCCTATGAATAACAATTCTTCTCTGGGGTCAAAGAATCTAGACTTATAAATTCTTCTCTGAAGGGGCATGAATCTTTCATAAAAAATCAATTAATTTTCAAAAGAATTGAACCAAAGAGTGATACTGAAATAAGAAAGCTATTGAAATTAACAATAATATGCATCTAGCAAACAGTGATAATTGTAGCTTGCCTTTTTTCTCTCTCTTTTTGTTTTTGTTTTTTATTTATTTGAGGGTTTGTGTAATTTCATGCTGAAATAAAATGAATGAGGCCAGATTTAAATCCAAAAAAGAGAGCCCAAAGCTCTTAAAAGAACATGGGATAAGTGAATAGGGTAACGTCGATATATGCAATATATCATAAAATATCATAAAAGGTTTATTATTAATTTGAAAGTTGTTATTCTAAATGTCACGCATCATGAAACAATTAATGTGCATTCAACTAAAAATAAAGCTCGTTTACCTCGGTAATCGACGCCATTATTGAGCTTCACCACGACAGGACGGCCTATGATTTGCTTCAGGAAGTCACTTGGAGTTTGTTTGCGACTCATGTCTGAATTGCTGGAGCCAAAACACGAAATACAGTATACTCCGTAGTTTCCAAGATGGTGGTGCTTGGAACTCGTCCCAGTATTTCTCGCCTAGCTAATGAGGTTGGAAAATTCATAATGGTGGCCTAATCGAAATGAAATCAAGGACGGGAGAATACTTCTTATTAATCTTCTACTCTCAGCTCTCATGTACGTTTAATTATAAATGAAATTTTTTTTCTGCTGTTGCTTAAAATAGCCCGTTTCATTTATTTACACCCTAACTTACCTAGAGGATGACAGGAATCTAATAAATCTGATAAAGTGGGACATTGCTATGTTCCTATATTTAACACAGGGTTGTTTCTATAGTGCACAATTTAACAAACAATGTTTTTTACTTTATTGTGCGTTTGCACTTATATATAACCCCTTCCGTACACACACCTCTCTTCCGCAATTTAACCCGTAGAACAATTTTGTAACTATATAAATATATTTTTTTGGTACATTTTTTAAAATTTCTATTATATAACCTCTGACCACCTCATTGATGTCTTTGCTGCATTCTTAAATCCTGGAATTGGAAAGTACTGAGATCATTTATCCTTACGACCAAGATTGCTGAGGTGTGCTCATGAATCTGCGAGGCAGGGACAAATTCGTGTGAGGCACGCGTAAAAATTTGAGAAGTCCGAAGGTCGTCGGAGGCAGACACTCGTTCACAGTTCATTCTCTGGCATTTTAGTCTCTGGTTTTCGTGGTCAGTTTTAACAAGTGACTGGATCATGGATCATGGAAGGATTTATCTTCTTGGAACCTCGTTAATCCTTTTATTTATCGCATCCATCCTTTCCCTAAGGTAATCAGCTTCATAAAATTATATTTAGTGTAGCTTTTAAAGTTCTTTATCAACGTGATGTCTTTTTTATCATCGCATTCCTGAAAAAATAGATGGTACATGTAAATATACAAGTGCAAAGTCTGTTGGAGGCAAGCGAAAGAGGTCTTGCTGTTCATTACATTTATCGTTGCTTGCGAAGTTTACTACGCAACTAGCTATTCGTAAGGAGACTGGAACTATGTTTTGAGGCATATTCGAAGAAACCTAGCATCGCTTCATTTCAAGAATACAATTCATACCTAAATGTACCAACTCCTAGGAAAAATCTCCGATAAATAGTAAGTAATATACCAAGAGAAGAAATCTAACATTTCTACCTTCACCAAATCAACTCTATCTACGCAGTTATCAGCATCCGAAATCATGAGAAGCGTCAAACTCGTTTTCTTTGGGTGAACGAAAGGGAAGACTTCTCCGCTCACTTCGACGGATCTACACGTGGATGAGTAAGAAAACCAATGGAATTCTGCAAAGGTGCAATTAGATTATGAAAGGAACATAAATTGACTTTTTTCATCCAAGAAGTGATAGAGCTTTGTCTAGTTATAAAAAAAGGTTCAGATTTTCGCCCGCACATTTGTTTGCTGTCTTTGTGTCATGGAAAACGGTTGAGTTCCTTTTTGCATGTAAATTTTCCAATTTTCGCTCTATATTTCTGTTCCCTGAAGGGAAAAATTTCAAAGTCTTCACAGTTAGAAAATTTGGACAAAAAACTGTTGTATTCATTAAATATATTATCAGATTCCTCCCGTGCACGAGCTATCGAAGGTTTCCCAGCTTTATATGACGAAAGACTTGTAAGAGATGGTTTCCATGGATTTTGGCTCAAAACAAAATCATTTGCTTCAGCTATCGGTGCGGTCAGTATCGAGATTAGGAGCTTTGGAAATTTGGATTATTTCACAGTCTAATTTGAGAAAAAAACTATTTACAACAAACCAAAAAGAACAAATACTATAAAAACCAAAACGCAAAAAACAAAACAGACTATATTTGAGTGGTCGAGCGAAAGAAAACCGCGGGTGAAACGCGATGGCTTCGTGGCTTCACCCCGAAAAGAAAAGCAACCAAAATCTTCTTCCACCTCTGCGACAGAAATCAAGAATACCAGTCAGAGTGACTCATCTGAGCAGCGAAAGTGACAGAAGTTTGGATGAAAAAGCGCTTCTGCATAGAGATTCAGACAGAAAACTTCAAAATAAGCGGCCATCGCGGATTCCGATAGTGGTGGATGAGAAGAAGAACAAAGTTGATACTAAAGAAAATCTACCCGTGTATGTTAAAATACAAGGAGAAGAACCTCTTGGAAAACATTCAGGTATGTTCTTTTTCCAGCAGCTAGCTAGCTTCATTCTTTTCATTCAAGTGTTACGTATAGCAATTTAAGAGATCATAGAAAACGGTTTCAGGTGAATGGCTGGAATAACTCAATCGATTGTATCATACCATACACCGTAGGTTTGATGAACTGAGATGAATTGTATTACATTTTTACCGAAACCATGTTATACAGGGTTGTAAAAAGACATTGTTTTAATGTTTTCGATTTATAAAATTCGACGAGTAAGACTTTTTCTTAACTTTAGTTCTTATCATTGTAGAAAAGAATGTTACGAGTGGCCATCATTTATTATTCTGTTTATTTCTTTATGCAGCTCTTCATTTTCATACATCCTCTTAAATCTTTATTTATTTATTTTCACCTTGATTTCCTGATTTAAGTTCAACCCCAGCATGTAGAGATTTTGAGCCGTAAAAAAAACAAAAACAAAAACAAAACAGGAGAGAGGCCGCTGTACACCGCTCTTATCAGCTATCTTGTTTTGTTTCAATCCACTTGCTCAGTTGATGCTCGTTTGCACAAACTGGAGGCAGATTCCTATATTTAAAACTTCACGATATTTTCTAAGGAAATTACATGTTAGTGAGTGATTTTTGTCAGGAGGAACTAACAAGTGATTTTTATACGATCACAGGTATTAAGCTAAAAGATACTCAAGGAAAAGAGGAAAAGAAGAAAGCAAGTACCATTTCTTCGACCGCAGCTAAATATGGCAGTTATAGGCGTGCTAAAGAAACGATGCCAAACGTCAGGCGGCGAATACCACGACAACTTACACCCTTAGAGACAGACTCGAAACAGGTAAATCTAATAAAAATCGATGATTTGAAGTGAGACAGCGAGAAAACCTTTTCATGAGCAAATAGCATAGGTGAAAGACTTCGTAATAAACACCGTCTCTCTGGAGGACGTGGAAGTTAACTTGAATTTACGTTTCTGAGAAGAAAAGTGAGAAAAAAAAGAATAGTGCATCTTAATTAGGACTCATGACAACCGGGTTCGTCTCGGCCGGTTGACACTTTACTTTTAAATAAACAGGTCTGCAGCGATGAGAAAGAACCACGAGAAGAAAGCTTGGCTAGTGAGGTATCATCCTCAGCCAGAACAGAAGATGTCACGCCAGATTTTGAATGTAACGTTGCACCTGTGCTCGAGGAAGAGCTCCGTATTGGGGCCGAAGCAGATTTCAGTGGCAGTGAGTTTGGCGACGACTTTGAACGTCACTCAAAATCTAGCGACGAAAAAGCAATGCCCAACGTACCCCCATGGCTAAGAGAGGAGTGCAAGTTAGTATTCAAATAACTTATTTTGTTGTTGTTGTCTTTCTCTCTTTTATTTACACTTCTTGCGCCAGACTTGGAGAGGTCGGCGCGGCGCGCAAACATCAATTTTTTTTCGTTGACTTTTTTTGTTTTTACTCGTGCAACGGACTTCACAGAAAAAGATAATCTGCGTAGTCTTTTCATTTGCAGTCAGTGAACTCTTGTTTATGAATTTCACGTTTTGAGGCAAGTAAGGAAGTGTATGCGCGTGATACCATTTAAAAACTGTAAACTGTAGACAAAGAAATCGCAGAAAGTAAAGCCGGAAAACTGAGCGAATTCAAGCCTTTACGGCGTCTGAGCTCATTGTTTCACAACAAATGATATCTGGGCATCAAGCCGAGGGCTCGATCCTCGTCGAAGCCTAAAATAATTTTTTCAGGCTTTTTTTGTGCGATCAATTTGTCATTTATCACCTACAGTTCATTTGGTATTTCATACTTCTTAGATATAGAACATATTTCCAAAAATAACAAGGCATAATTTGACACTAAAGTAAATAACGCGAATTGTGGATTTTTGGAGGTTTCTATGACTCAAGATAGTAGTAAAATTGGCGGCCTACGTTATCCTTTTTTGGTTAAGAAAACGATCCCAAATTTTTCAAATCCTCAAGGTTTTGCTCAATATTGAAAGTTGTAATATTCTAGGCACCCGTTTATTTTGTTTATGAAGCGAATTCTTCACTCTAATGACCAAGATTCCTTGAGGGAGTTGACTATTAGAGACTTCGATTTAGTTGATCAAAATAAATTTATTTTATGCAGGAAGAGAGAAGAAATCACCCTTAACAAAAACATCGTGAAGGATGACACCGCCGTGACAAACGCGGCACAAAATATCAGGCTTGAACCAGAGCTTGATACAGAGGACAAAGTGGACAAATGTGGTTTGAGCGAGGAAGAGTTGGACTGTAGTTCTTTCACCGAGTCCAGCGGATACAAAAGGAAAATGGCTGAGCTGGACGAAAAATCCAGACGGCTCAAGGCACAGTTTGCAGAAGAAAACAGACAGGCTATCGAATCTATGAACAAGATCGTAGAGGAGATCAAACAGAGCCAGGCAAGGGAAGATAGCATCACAAATGAGATACAGGAGATGAGACGGAGACAGGATGAAATAAAAGACGATCTTAAACGCCTTGATGAGATTGGCCAAAGACGAGAGCTCGAGGATAAAAAATGGAGAGAGAGGATGGAAAAGAAAAAGAAAAAAGTCGCACGTAGACTGGAGAAGATAAGAGCCGAACGACGTAAATATCAAGAAGAGACAGCTGATGAAGACGGCTCAACAGAAGAGCACGAACAACCGGATGAGAATTTAAATGAAAATCGAGAAGGGGAGAAATGCAAACATGTCACCATGGAGAACAAAACTGTTGTCAGCGAAGAAATTGACGACAACAAAGTGCTATATGAGCCTCACGAGATCAAAGAGTACAAAAGTGTGAAGGAGCTGGAAAAGAAGCGGAAAAAACTAAGACGGTTGGAGAGACTGGAAAAGAAGGCAATTAAAAGAGAGAAGTTAGAACAAAGAGAACGAAAGAAGATCGAAAAACAAAAGCGAAAAGTTTCTCGCAAACTTGAAAAACTCTCAGGTAAGACTTCAAAGATTTCGGAAGGAACCTCAGAAGCTTCTAAATGTATAGATCAGCCCATGGAGGCTTCGAATACTACGACGAAGGAGAACTTCGACGAAACACCGAGAGTGAGTAAAAGTAAACCATGCACCGATAAGACTTCAGATGGGAAAGAGTCCAAGCAAGTCCAAGCAGCTCATTTTCCTGGATTGCCCACCAATGGAGTGGAGGTTGAGAAAATTGAAGAGAAATTGGCTGAAGTTGAAAATAAACAGCATATAGCTTTAGATTCAGGCGCACCCGCTAAAGTAGGATCGGAAAAAGAGTCTTACAGTGACGCCGCGAAAAAAAAGGAGAAGGTATGTGACTATCCTGACGAACAGATAAAGAGAATCGACGACAATACTGATGCCGAAGTAGTGTCTGCGGGGAGAGAAGACACACTAGACGATATATCTATCGAAGAACTTGGGTTGGAACAGGCGCTAAACTTCGATCAAGAAAGAAAAGGTGAAATTCAAATGGAGCCCGAAAATAGAGACTTCCTCTCGGACAACTCTGGACCAGTTTTATCAAGGACTGGATGTCAAGAACCCTTCAGACAGGAAAAAGAGCAACGCCCTCAGGGCGAACCTGTTGCAATGAGTCACGTAAGCTATTTCCCTTCGCCTGATTGCAGCAAACACGATGAATATCGTGCAGCAGACGAGCCTGTTTACGAAGATGTCTCGGTTTCAAACTGCGAAAAAAACAACGGCTATGGCGATTATAAGCGAGACCTTTTCAGCAGCTTTAGCCCAGTCACTGATCAGACATCTCCGCTGACACGAAAGACGTCAGGCAGATTTACATCGTTTGACCTGCAGCCGTTGTGTCGCTCACCTGAGATGGGAGAGGAAAACCCAGTACTGGAAGACTCGCACTCGAATGTCAACGAATCATTGGACAGCGAACACACTAGCCAAAATTATAGAAACGAGGAGGTCCCTCTACAACTAGAAAACAGATCAACCGAAAACAAAGAAAATAGTGGCGAGGATCAGTCGCAGTTAATGAGCAAAGGAAGCCATAACTATAGCGATGAAACACCTGAGCAAGTGAAGTGTCCAGTCACCTACCAAACTGCTCCCCTGACAAGAAAGGTCTCAGAAAGGTTTACACCGTTTTGCCTACAGCTGTTGTGGCGCTCACCTGAGATGGCAGAGAACAATCTAACATCGGAAAATTCGGACTCTATCGTCGACGAATCAGTTGAGAGCGAACACATTGACCAAAATGACAGCAACGAGGAGGTGCCTCGACAGCTCGAGAAAATATCTCCCGAAAACAGAGAAAACGATATCCAGGATCAATCGCAGTTGATGAGAGAAGAGAGTCATAGTCATAGTGATGATACATTCGATTTAGTCAATCACAGAGTCACTAACCAAACTACACCCTTTACACCGTTTGCTCTACAGCCGTTTTGTTGTCTACCTGAAGAGGCAGAAGATAATCAAATATTGCAAGACACAGATTCTACGGTCGACAAATTAGTGGACAGCGAGCATAGCAATAAAAAGTATAGTAACGAGGAGGTCCCTCAACAGCTCGAAAACAGATTCGCTGAACACGAAGTCAAGTCAAATAAAGATGATGCCAACCATACGACCTGCAGCGACATTCTCGAAGGTTTTCAGGGGACGCTTTCCGAAAGTAGAGTTCCATGCCCAGATGACAAAACTGATAAAGATACTGACTCTGAAATAAGTTGCGGTGAAGAAACTCGCCGTTTATTTAAGACGGACCCGTTCGCCAATTTCGTCAAAGAAGCCGGCGATGAAAGCCGTACCAAAAAGGCGCTAACTGAGCTAATACAAGAAGAGCTGATATCTACATTGGAGAGTCCAGCTAAATGCTGTTTAGCAGTCGAAAATGGAAACAACAATAAGAGGCCTTTAAAAGGCGAGGGAAGCTCTAGCCACAAAGACGATATTTGCGATCAATTTAAGGACAGAGACCAATTTACTGGTTCGTCTTTTCACTCATCTGAACAAGGAGCAGGCAATGAAAAGTTGGAAGTTACGGCCTCTACAACTAACCAAGTGGAGGGTAATAAAGAAAGCGAACGTGAGCGACCTAACTTGGAGGACTCATCTTATATGACTACAAACAACATAAAGTCATATAATGACGCTAACGATACATCCTGCTACGATATCCCTGAAGAATTAGAAGAGATACTTTTGGTGTCAGGGGTGTCCTCTCATACGGAGGAAGAAAGCGTTTACGAGACGGACGTGCAAGTAATTTGTAAAGAAGAAGATAGTTGTACCTCTCTCTCTGACGCACTATCTACCTCCTGCCGTGGTGATATCTCGATGGGAGCCTATGAGATCGAAACGGAACGCAGAAAAGAAAACGTGTTAAGCGATGGAAGTGGACAAATGTACAACGTAGATGATATAATTGACGATACAGAAACAGCTGTAATCCCGGAGGAATTTAGATTTGAGAACCGTAACTCTTTCTCGGAAGAACAAAGTGAACATGGGCGCTTAGAGATAGAGAACACATTATTAGCTTGTAACTACGAGAAGGAGCCTCAGCAACTCGAAAAAGAATTGGCTGAAAAGGAAGACAAGTCCTGTAATGATGTCGACGATACAGTCTATAGTGATAGACCCAAATGGATAGAAATGGGGCATACACGAGCTTGCAGGGAAATAAAAACTACTCCAGATAACTCGTCTTTCGTCCAAAATGATGACAAAACTATAGAGGGATTAAAGAACATCTTTCAAACTGGCGAGAAGCAAAAGATGACTGAAAATAAAGAAAATTATTGGAAAGAAGCCGAGGTCCTCGTTAAATATTCAGATGCCTCGTTCGATGACAAAAAAGGAAGTCTTTCTTCGATTGACGACAAAGGCGACTCCGTCCTACAACAACACAAAACAAAAGTATGCAAAAAACGAAAGAAGGTTTCCGATGACATGGCAAAATTTTCCTTGGACATAGAAAATTCGATTGAGGACGAGTTTATTGATGACTTCGACCGTTTCCTTGATGAAGTTGAGGAAGATATATTAACAGAGGAAAGCATGTCTCAGATTTCACACAGTGTTGAGAAAGAAGACGATGAGAAAAATGTTGATGAATGCGGTGCTTTGCCAAGTCACGAGCGATCGGTAGCAGCAGTCGTAAACACTTATGAATACTTATTCCAGTCGTTTAGTTGTTCACCTGAAGAGGCAGAAGATAATCAAATATTGCAAGACACAGATTCTACGGTCGACAAATTAGTGAACAGCGAGCATAGCAATAAAAAATATAGTAACGAGGAGGTGCCTCAACAGCTCGAAAACAGATTCGCTGGAAACGAAGTCAGGTCAAATAATGATGATGCCAACCATACGAATTCCAGCGACATTCTCGAAGGATTTGAGGGGACGCTTTCAGAAAGAACTGATCCTTGCTCAGATGACAAAACTGATAAAGATACTGACTCTGAAATAAGTTGTGGTGAAGAAACTCGCCGTTCATTGAAAACAGACCTGTTCTCCGATGTCATCAAAGAAGCCGGTGATGAAAGCCGTAACAAAAAGGCGCTAACGGAACTAATACAAGAAGAGCTGATATCTTCATCGGAGAGTCCAGCTAAATGCTCTTTAGCAGTCGAAAATGGAAACAACAATGAGAGGCCTTTAAAAGGCGAGGGAAGCTCTAGCCACAAAGACGATATTTGCGATCAATTTAAGGACAGAGACCAACTTACTAGCTCGTCTTTTCACTCACCTGAACTAGGAGCAGGCAATGAAAAGTTGGAAGTTACGGCCTCTACAACTGCCCAATTGGAGGGTAATAAAGAAAGCGTACGCAAGCGACCTAACTTGAAGGACTCATCTTATATGACTACAAACAACATAAAGTCATATAATGACGCTAACGATACATCCTGCAACGATATCCCTGAAGAATTAGAAGAGATACTTTTGGTTTCAGGGGTGTCCTCTCATACGGAAGAAGAAAGCGTTTACGAGACGGACGTGCAAGTAATTTGTAAAGAAGAAGATAGTTGCACCTCTAGCTCTGACGCACTATCTACCTCCTGCCGTGGTGATATCTCGATGGGAGCCTATGAGACCAAAACGGAACGCAGAAAAGAAAACGTGGTTAGCGATGAAAGTGGACAAATGTACAACGTAGATAATATCATTGACGATACGGAAACAGCTGTAATCCCGGAGGAATTTCGATTTGAGGACCGTACACATTCTTTCTCGGAAGAACAAAGTGAACATGGGCGCTTAGAGATAGAGAACACATTATTACCTTATAACTACGAGAAGGAGCCTCAGCAACTCGAAAAAGAATTGGCTGAAAAGGAAGACAAGTCCTGTAACAACGCCGACGATGCAGTCCATAGTGATAGACCCAAAGCTACTCCAGATAACTCGTCTTCCGTTCAGAATGATGACAAAGCTGGAGAGGGATTGAAGAACATCTTTCAAACTGGCGAGAAGCAAAAGATGACTGAAAATAAAGAAAATTATTGGAAAGAGGCCAAGGTCCTCGTTAAATATTCAGATGCCTCGTTTGATGACAAAAAAGGAAGTCTGTCTTCGATTGATGACAAAGGCGACTCCGTCTTACAACAACACAAAACAAAAGTATGCAACTTTGATTCGTTGAATGACAAAAAACGAAAAAAGGTTTCCGATGACATGGCAAAGTTTTCTCCAGACAAAGAAAATTCGATTGAGGACGAGTTTATTGAGGACTTCGACCGTTTTCTTGATGAAGTTGAGGAAGATATATTAACAGAGGAAAGCATGTCTCAGATTTCACACAGTGCTGAGAATGAATGCAGTGCCTTACCAAGTTACGAGCGATCGGTAGCAGCAGTCGTAAATATTTCTGAGTATTTATTCCAACAAGAGTTTTCTAAGGCTTTGGAAACTACTATACCTGACAGTAAGAAAGAGTATACATCGCAATCGGAAAAGTCTTCAGAGGAAGAACTCGAACTGGAGAAAAGGAAATATTTGGCGAAAGATGTCTACCGATCAGAAGATGTTGCTGAGTACAGATACGTCATTGGAATAGCCCTTGACAAGTTGAATCACATAAACTCAGTGCTAACAGACGCGGGAGAACAGTTTCTTGACAGGAGAATAGAACATGGACGTTGCGCAGTACACGGGGATATCGACTCAGGTACAAGGCTACTTAACAGTATTGATGTACTCAATGATAACGTTAAAGGCGCGGTGAAAGATTTCAAACTTGCAATTCAAATGACTGAGGTAGAACCAAAGTTCCACAAAGAAAACGACGTGGTGAAACTTGGACAAATTAGAAAGGAAAATACCGAGCTTGAAATACAGATAAGCGTCATTAAGGAGGAACTTGAGACGTACCAAAAGAGGATAGAAAATTTGCAGGCTGACCTGGATGAGAGCAAAGATGAAGTAAGGCGACTGCAGTTAAAGGAAGAATACAAAGAAAGGGAGGTGTCAAATTTAAAACGTGATATTCAGAGCAAGGAGCGAAAATGGGAAGAAGGAAATGAAACCGTGGAAAAGGTTATGGGGGATATAAAAGAATTATGGGATGATGTCGATTTCTTGGAGGAAAGCTTAAAGAACAGTCAAAAAAGCAATGAAGATCTGATGTTTCAGGTTGATGAGCTGAAGAAAACGATAAAGGAAATGAAAAAGGAGTATTGGATGGAACATAGTCGCGGTGGGTGCGGGCATCTACGCGAAGAAGTAGAATTATTAAACGGATCCCTAGAATTGAAGGAACAGCGATTAGTTCTGTTGGAAGGACAACAGGCTAGACAATTTTCTCAGCACGCAGTAAAGGATAAAGAATTGAGAGAACTTAAAGACGAAAATTTGAGAGTAGTCAGCAAATTGGAAGATCAGCTTGCAAAACTTAGCAGAGAAAATTCAGCGCTCACTACGGAATTGTTAAAAGTGTCAGGGAAGGACGATGAAGTGGGTGAAGTGAAGGATGAAACGTCGAGCATTATTGAACATCTCAGGAAAGTAAAAGTTGAGTTAGGCCAAGAAAATTATATGCTAACATCAGAACTATCACAGGCACTGGTGGAAAATGAATCTTTGAAGAAAGCAAACGGCCAAGTGTCGAACATGATGAGGCAATTTGAAGATGAGCTTGCTAGGCTCAAGAAAGAACACTCCATGACAGATCTGCGAGCTTCATCAGACGAGAATAACCGTTGGAATGGGATTAAAGAAGAGACGTTTGGTGTTGTGCGTCAACTTGAAAATAAAATTTCGAGACTTCTGAAAGAAAACTTAACCATAGCCGTGAAATTTTCGGAGGAATCAGAACACAAGACACAGTTAAACGAGCTAAAATATGAAACAACAAAAACGATTAGCGATCTTAATGATGAAATTGCGAAGTTGCAAAGGGAAAAGTCCATATTGTCCTCGGAACTATCAGCAAAGGAATCAGACAAAAATAACCAGTTGTATGAGTTAAGATGTGAAAAATGGAAGATTGAAAGAAAACTTGAAGGTGAAATCACAGACTTAAGTCGCCAAAACTCCACTTTGACTGCGAGACTATCAAAGGCATCCGAAACGAATGACAAGCTCAAAGAACTGAGAGAACAACTGGTGGCCTTAAGCTGTAACAATAGCGCTCTTAAAGAAGAGTTAAAGAAAACTAAAAATCGTTCTGCGAAAGATTTGGAAAGTGTTCATAATGATAGCTGTGAATTCGCTCAAGATGAAAAGTGTTCAAGTGGAGGCCAGAAAAAGAAAAGCCCTGAAATCAAAGTTTTAAAGAAACGCGTCCGTCGATCTGAACGAGAACTTGTTATCTTAAGGAAGTTCCTTCGACAAAGGGGTCTTGACTTTGGAGAAAGGCTAACAAGCGTTGTTGATGGAGATGTAACAAGTACAGGCGACGAGGAAGTGAGTGCAACGGACACTTTGCATCTTTCTCGAGAAGTCAGGCTGGACGAAGGTAAAAAATATAAAGTGCAAGAAACGGAAAAAGCCATCAGAGATCTCCGACAAACTCTGCAGCAGACGGAACGTACTTTGGAACATACAAACAGTGCTTTGAGATTGAAGACAGAGAAAACAGATATTTTAGAACGCTGCTTGAAGGAAAAGGAAGAAATGCTCCAGATGAAAAGCCAACAGAGCAAGCAGGACATAGAGCAGACCGAAGGAACTTTGAGATGGCAGAAAGAAAGAACTGAGGAACTTAAGGTTCAGTTGAAAAATCTAACTGAGGCGGCGGAGGCTTTCATGAAGAGTAAAGAAAAGGAGGTGGAGGAAGCTTACTGCTGTATCAAGAAGCAAGATGAGACGATAAAAAATTTACTCGAAGAGATAAGGCAGGAAAGATGTGACAAGGACTGCTGCATACTACAGTCTGAAAGAATAGGAGAACTTGAGACTCAGTTGCAAAGAATGGAAGAAATGAAAAGAAGCACAGTTCACCGAATTGATGCCTTGGTGCTCGAAGTGAGGAAACAACGTTCAGAAAAAGAGCGTTTAAAAAGGGTTATAGAAGCTAAAGAGTGTACTTGTTACGAAGAGAAAGACCTTATGAAGATAACTGAAAATCGAGAGAATCAGTTACGCAAGAAGGATGACCTGACAAATGTCACTCTCACTTTAAACAACAACAAGAGGTCACTACAGGAAGCTAATAGCACTATCGATATGCTACACAAACAGTTGGAGCGGGAAAATTCGGATAAAGAGAATCTGAGAAGGGCCTTGAAGGCGTCAGAGTATGATACTAATGAAAGAAACAGATTGACTCAGAAAATTGAAAAACTAGAGAACCAACTACAAGAGATGGATGATCTACGGGAAAATACTTTACGGTCTCTTCAGGGAAAAGAATGGTCGTTTGAAGAGGCTCGTAATAAGATCAAAGAATTAACACGAGAAATAGCACGAGAAAAGTCGGACAAAGAGTATTTCAAGAAGAAAGTCGATGCTGGAGAGAATACCTCTAAAGGGGAGAGATTACTATTGGAGAAAACAGAGAAGAAGCTACGAATAATGAATGAGAGGCACGACAGGGCACAAGAATCTCTTGAGGCTAAAGAGCAGAAATTGAATGCAATGCACAATGGAATTGAGAGAAAAGACAACAAAGTCAAGAAATTAAAGAAAGAGCTCCAAAGGGAAAGGTCTAAGAAACGAAGTCTTAGAAAGGCGATGGAAACAACTAAATCTAATGCTCAGAAGCAGAGGGAGCTATTGGCTGAGAAAGATAACGAAGTGGACAAACTGAAAGAGTTAGTTTATGATTACAAGGAAAAGGTTGAAAAACTCAACATTAACTTGACAAAGCTTAGAAAGGAGATTGAAATCGCCAGAGAGCTCCTGGCTCATAGGAATTTTGAGAATGGCAATTTGCTGTCCCCACAGGGAATAGAACATAATCGCCTGAAGCTCGTTAAAAAAGAGACCATCAGAAAAGCAGAACAGACGGGTTGCCTAATGGCACAGGTGGGAAAAGGGCTGAGGAACTTGGTTCAAAGACAAAGAGAAGTGTACGCATCGAGCCTGATAATGAAGAAGACGGAAGCCTATACAGCTAGTGTTGTGGAAAAATTGAGAAAAGATTTGAATGAGAGAGAAGAATCCGTGGAATACTTAAGGAGTTGTTCTCAAGACAGTGCTAACGAATGCTCGTTCATGCGACGGCTGCTTGAAGATATTCAATGCGAAAATGCTCACCTCAGACGGTGTCTGGGAGACAAGGATGAGAAAGTAAGAATGCTCGAAACAATTGTCAAACAACTGGAGGAAGATCTTCAAAAGACACAAAAGTATTTAAAAGAAAAGGAAGTCGGGTTTGTTGACGCAAATGAAACCCTACGATTGAAATGCTCGCTTCTCACAACTATGGAGGCCAAATTATGTTTAAGGAATAAAGAGATTGACGAATTAACACAAACAAACAAGGAGAAAAGCTTAGAGCTAACTCGCATTGAGACCACCCTTAGAGAAGTGAAAAAAGAGTTAGATATTGCTGCATCCATCATCGAGAAGCAAAATGAACAATGTACTAACCTTAAGAATTGTGCAATGAGAAAAACCCGAGATGCGGAAGAGATGCATGACGAATTGAAACGCTTGTCAACTCAGCTTGTATGTAGCAAGGAGGAGAAGTCAAACCTTCACAGAGCAGTGTTAGCTGCCACATCGCGCTTGGAATACGAGAGGTTTTTCGCAGAAAGAAAACAGAAAGCTCTACAGGTGGAAGTGAAGACGGGTTTGAAAGAATTCAATACCAAAAGTAAACAGTTTTGGGATATGAAGATGGACCTTCGGGAGGCTGCAGCTCGGATCTCTGTACTTGAAGATGAAAAGGCAGAGCAAGAGGAAAACTTAGCAGCCTTTAAAGGAAAAGTATCACGAGAACTTGACCTATTAAAGGAGACACGGCATGAAGGAAATGAAGAGTCGAGTTCGCTTCAGTTGACGATTGGTTCAGCAGAACGTGAGATAGCCAAGCTGACAAAGGAGAATCAAAAGCAGTTCAGGATTGAGTTATTGCACAATGGGCTCGAAAACAAGTCTTCTGAGTCGTCATGTGAGGTAGGATATTTTCATTGCTAAGTGCAAGACGCAAGAGCGAGTAAGAACGACCCGAAAGCGCGAGACGATTAACACGAAAACTAACTAAATTCTGCTGTTAAGTTATATTTTTTAAGTGTTCAGATTTAATTAACAAGGCGGAAATTGTGACACGCATGTTTTTTAAACATGCAATTCATTTTTGTTCATATCATCTACAGGAAAGCACCTTTCGCACCCTAGAAACCACGAGAGGAAAAGCTTTGGCAGCCAGTAGTCAGGGAGACACTCAGAGTAAATGGTCAGTGATATTCTATCCTAACTAAAACGTTATAATAAAGTTTTTGGTAAAGTTGCAAAACCCGTGACTTTTTCCATTTTTATTGTTGATTATTCAAACATTTCACCGAAAAACAAGCTAAACAAAATTTAGGAGGTCTTGGAACCTGACGCATCCATGATTATTACCAACGCCATAATGCTGGGATACTCATCACGCATTAACAATTGTCAGATAATGCGATTACCTTCCAAGGTATTTCCATAATTTCCCCAGGTTTTCCCTGTCATCTTTTATTGGGCGATTTGATAATTAAAATGTTTCCTACTTTTCAATGCAGGGTGAATAACTCCAGATTTGAGAAACGTTTTGAAACAAGGGGAGATAATCGTTTCAACCGCACTGGTACTATCACAGCTCGTGGATCATCTAATACAGTTTCGATCCTCCTCTACAATGGTTAAGGTTTTGCAGGAGGACTTACTCTGCGAAATATTAGCAAAATGAATGAAACGTAACAGTATTTCTGTGCATCCTTGAAAATTTTGCATGCAATTGGTATAATCGTGAGATTTATATGAGAGAGTGTTTGCCTTTCTGCAAAAATGGATGTATTTTCTATGCTTTCGTGCATTGACATTAAGTGGAAATATATGAAAATAATTTAAAGTTGTTCGTTTTCGTTCTGTAGGAGGGAAGGGAACAATGCGGAATGGGTGAAGAGGTAACATTCTAAATGGAAACCAAGGGCCCTAACTTTGATTCTAAATGGGCCTTCCCCAATCCCTCAGTCCTTCTGCTTTCGCAATATTCAATTGGAGCTCTCTAGATTCACGTCCGTTGGAGCTCAACTGGAGGGAAAAGGAAAAAAATCCACACGTCGGCGAAATAAAAAATCCCAATTTCTACTCATTTTGTTCTTTAATTCGACTTCATTTACAGACTTTGCATAAAAGTGTGCTGGGTCAATGGCTACAGATAGATTAGAAAATGAAATTCATCGTGACTTATGAAATAATGTCTAGGATAGGTTCCCAACACGACTTTTTTTTAATCGGCTCAGTTATCTGATCACTCCAAGGAAAATATTTCAAAAGAAAATAATTTTTATTTCCGTTCAAACTTTCATCAAAGCCTTAGAACGAAGCCAATGTTGGGTCTAAAGCGCAGATAAAGCCTATAGTTACTTGATACCACATATGGTTCACTAGCTCTATCATCTTGTTAGATTGATGTCAGTGTCTGATTAACTAGTCATAAGCTGAACTGGAAACTATACAAAGACTGCACAGGTTTTCAAAATTAATTGAATGTTATAGTTAAACGTCTTGGATTGGTCCCTTGAGACACTCTAGCCAACATGCAAACATCCAATTAAGTTTCACTCTAGCAAGTGAGGTAAGCGAGTACTTTTCTCTCACCACTGTAACCAATGCGTCCATGCTGAACGGCTAAGTTATCCAATGCCAGTAGGTCTCCTGCTCGCCATTGAAAACCAACTGCGCATGACCAGGTTGTTGCTCGTATGTGTTGTATTACTTCTGGTTCAATCGGACTTCCGTCTCCATAATATGTGTTGGAAGGGCATTCGTCATCCGGGATACCTTTACCAATAAACGTGGGCATAATTTGGTAATAAGAGCTGTGCATGGCCGCTATCTGATTGAACCAAATCTTATTTCCGGTCTGCGGGTGCTGTATCGACACGGGTCTGTTTTGCCAGAGACGTAAGTCTTGTGCTTCATTCCAGCTCACGTGGTACCCTTTACCTTTTGCTCGCCTCTCTGCTTCCTGAAAAATTGCGTCATTAATCAAAGCTCGAGGTCAAAATGATTGGATATTGACAAAGTACTTTTGGCGTTTTATTACAAGAGCGAAGAGGAGAAGTCCACTGGGAAAATAACAGGGACAAAATAACAGGGACAATATCCTGTACTTATGGGAACCTCTTGCCGGTTAAAAATAGAGTTTATATGGACTACTTATCAAGGCAGCGCGTAAGGAGAGTTTGCACTTTGAATAGTGTCCCTTAAGACTCATCCTACTTTGTTCCCTCTTTGCAATTTTCTCTTTGTAAAACAAGAATTAGGCGTGATTTATTTTTGCCTTCAGGGTGCTCAAGTCTTAGGGCTTGGAATGTTGGACTGACAGGGCAAAATAGACGAGTGGCTTACCTAATTAGTGGTCTGACACATGTCGATATAAGCCGGGAGTAGTTAGCGTCGTTCATAGAGTACTGACTCTGATAACTTATTCAGCCTACGCGGGCAGGAATCTTTTTTGAGCACGCCTTTCTGAATTCAATACCAAAGAGTCGCAAATCGTACCTTTTTATCTTCAGTGCCAAACATGTGTTGCCAATTCATGTATTCATCGTGGGATTTGTCCCGCAAATATCGTACATATCGCACACCCTTTTCTTCAAACTTCGCCACTACTTTGGGATCCAATTTGGAAAGGAGTTCGCTGTTCTTGACCAACGGTGTTTCACCACCACAATTATCGTCAGCCTCCTTTACGCTGTAAAAGAAAAGCTAAAGAAAGATAACAATGAGAGGACATGGTAACGACCCACGCAAATATTTGGGGACAAGGTGGTACCCAGTCCATCGTGTTGCAATGTTTCCGCACGGTCAGAGATGCATAAGGGAGGAAAAATTGAAAATTGAATTGAAAATTGAAAATTCTTATATTGATAATTGCCCAATATAAGTCTATAAATTAAGTCTATGAGGGAGAGTGGCCTCCTTTCAAGCTGTTCTTTAGTCTCGTCACGCAACATGGCAATGACAATAACAACAACAACAAAACACGACAACAACTGCAAAAACAATATCTCTCACGACAACGAACCTTTTTGGGCCAAGTATTGAGATAAGACATCTCGTTGTGCGTATCCATAGTAACCTCTAATGGATCGTCGCTAGCGGTATAAGTCTTCACACTTTTGTCAACTTGTTTACGATATGTACTGCCACCGACCTCATACGACAAAGGCTTTCCGGGAATGTTACCAGCAATAGTCGAGAAGTCATCGGCTGTTCGAGCCGGAAGGCCACGAAACAAAATAGCCGGACATTGTGAATGATTTTCTTCCATGAATTCCATACACTTCGCGGTCAGTTGAGCGAGAGAGGCCTGGTTAGGATTGTGGACGCGTACACCAAGTGGAAGGGAATCTCTTGGTTCCGCTAAGAACTCTGGGAAACCACCTTGTGTGGAACCTGGTGTAAACTCTCTGTCACGTAATTTCGACTTAAATTTAGTAACAAGTTCTTCTCTTGGCAATGGTTCAAAGATCTCTGTGTTTGTTTTACTTTTGTTCATTGAAGCAAAGCGAATGCCATGAACCATAAACGCTGCCCTGGCAAAAATTTGGCTTCCTTGGTGAGGGTGATACACACGACTGACCAGCATGATCTATATATTAGACTGAAATAACAAAGATGAGTGAATTTTGCTTAAGACGCAGTCTCTCTAAAAACCTGTCCGGTGCGTTTCGGGTCAAAAATCGATTTCTTTCAGATTGTTGCAAGGAATCAGTCTTAGTCTAAAAGAAATCGAAACCACCTTAGTTTTTTTCAAATAAAGCCGAGTGTTCCTTTTTTTTTTTGAGCAAAAATCGCTTCAGCGCTCAAATGCCTGTACTTAACATCACCGATTATTAAAAATAGCACAAATTGCCTAGCTCGTCTTTTCACAAAATTCTAGTCAGAGGGTTTTATTTCGTTTCGCACATCTAGATCAACCCTTCATAAGAACAAAGCACATAAGTTTTGTTTTTTTCAAACGGTTTTTTTTCAAAGAATTTTTGTTGCTTTATCATGTAAATTGGCCACCGTAAAGAGTTCCTTACGCTGACGTTTCGTGCGCAAGTTCTTTGTTACAACGATGGACTAACGCTCGAAACATCAGCTTCAGCAACCCTTTCAGGAGTCCAATTTACATTATCAATTCATTTGATAAAACCAACTTATTTCGTAACAACCCCCACCGAAGCAGCACCACAGTTAATTATCAACTATTTCAGATCCCGTGATATGAAAGACTGCCCCATATTCTACAAATGTGTCTTCACAAAAATAGAAAGCAGTGACATTTCTTGAAACTCATAGCAAACAATCGCAGCGAAAATTGTCTATCCATTGGAGTGTAATAATCTCTCACCATCCTCAACAGTACATGACCAAAACGCCTACGTTGCCTTTTACAACGACGCGCTCCTCTTCTTATCAATTACTTTAGAGTAGAGCAGAGTAGCAGCGATTTGGCGGCTAGAATTGTGAAACTGGAAATACTCAGTGCGCATGCTCACAGCGAAAACTCTCTTTCTCTCTCGTGAGAATTAAACAGAGAATTCAATATTTTCCCAGAAAAGATTATAATCCCAGATTAAGTTCAAATCGGAGATATGCATCTAGTATTTTCTTCGAGGGAGAATAAAAACTACTGGAAAAATAGGAATGCAAAGATCACCTTGACGCCACATTCGAATCGATGATCGAACGAGAGTTCCGCTATGAAGTTAATACCCCTTATTCCTTTGTCTCTAAGGGATTGTAACCACAATACTCGTGGGACCCATGCCTACGCCTTATCCTCGGTTTTGATAATCTGCTACTGGATCGTACCGAGTAAGACGCGCTGTTATATTCACATAAAGATTCACATTTGGTCAAATGTTGATCGTAAAATAACTCCAATAAAAAAAATTATTCCCTTTACATTTTGGAAGGAAACAACAGGCCTCAAACCTTAAGACCCCTGCAAGGTTTATTGTCAGTTCGTGCCATAGACAGTTTTGTCTATACCATGACGTCATGCAACATGGCGTCAAGGTTCTGCCCCCTCCAGCCCCCTGTTCGCGGGGGCACGCTCCCCTATACCCCTCCACTAATGTAGAACAAACAAAGGATTTGATCCGGTAAATTGGCCACACAAAAGCTGACAAGGCAACGGATATTACAGTTGCAGTTGACGAAGATATTGGATACCCGTACAAGAGTTAAATTCCTTAGCGAAATGAAAAAAGCAGTAAGGAATGCATGCAAAGGATAAAGTCTTCTGAGTAATGATGAAACATAAAAAAAGATTTTACGCCAGAAACCACAACCGTAATTTGGCTCAATCGCTGTGAATAAATACAGTAAAATTTTACGCCGTTAACCAACGGCATAATTTCTTTAAGTCTGTAGCTACACCTGCTATAAGATTTTATTTCGTTAACTAACGGCATAATTTATTTAAGTCTGTAGCTACGCCTACTGAAAGATTTTACGCAGTTAACTAACGGTGTAATTTCTTTCAGTAAGAATAAATACATACAGTTAAATTTTACGCCGTTAACTAATTTCTTCTAGTCAGTAATCTACATACTGTAAGGGCCTGTTTACATGGAGGTGGGGGACCCCAGGTAGGTAAGGTAACCCGCCTAGCCGCAGTCGAAAAATAAAACGCGTTTACATGCAATCTTACAACCCCGGGGTGCTGGGGTGTTGTGGCGCATGCAATTAAGGAGTCTGAGCAGAGGCGTCCTAAGCTCACATCTCGAAAAAGACGAAAGATTAATTCTCGGACACATATGTATTTATTCATGAAAGCGTCACGCGTTGTGTTACGCGGTGTTTGGTTTCGCGAGAAACCGTTGGCTTAATACGTTATACAGGATAGTTTGGGAAACCAAATAAGGTCGATTTACAACGCTAAATATTCCGAAATGTGAACATTTTACACTCCTTGTGTGTCCGTTGCGGTTTCTGGTGATTTCTGCCATGAGACGGCTAGGAAATGTACAAAGTTTTGACAAAGTTTTGTCACCCCACCTATCACGTAAACGTGATCAAAATAAAACAGGAAATTATATGGACAGGCGGGTTACCTCACCTACCCGGGGTCCTCCAACTCCATGTAAACAGGCCCTTAGTCACGTATCACGCCGTTATTCTATAGGGATTGTGACAAAATTATCAATCGCTTGTGATGAAACTCAATCGTTAATGCTAGCAACAAATCTTACTCGTATATCAATCTAGTTTCCGTTCAGAAATGGTCAACGTAAGTGCTGAACCTCAATCGCTTGTGTTGTTGCACCACACGCCGTTGTAAGATTCCAATTAGAAGCCCTTATTATAAATCGCTAGTGTTCTGAGGCAGATCGATAGCGCTAGATATCAGTTATAGGTTTTTGTGTCAATCAACAGTTTAAAACCTTTATGGCTTGTGATATTTTTAAAATACAGCAATCATAACGATGTTCGACGTTATCACTTACAAGCTAAACAAGCGGGAGACTGGTTCAAGTTAGAATCACTGACAAATCGATACTAAGCGCTAACGACTGATGTTTTGCGGTAGCAATTGCAATTTCTACTCATTACAAACAATCGGTGTCAACATTGACGATTGATAGCGTGAGCGTCGTTTTACAAAGCGCTGTGACTAAATGCCCCGAGCACTATCTCAAAATAGATTAAATGCTTGGCTGTCAGAAATTTTCTCAGAATTTCCACTGAACGGTTCCTTCAAACTTTTGAGGAATATCAGATCTTTGCTAGAAATGTCACGCGATTCTAAAAATTAACTTGGTTTTTCAGTAAACATATTCGCCGACCTTCTGCATACTCTGATATCGCTCGGTTGTCGACACATAGAAATACGCTATTGTACGCTACTGATCGGGCTACCACGCACCGTCTCGAATAGACAAAATGCCCGGTAGTTAGAACCATATTTTCTTAGGATTGATGTTGTCTCTGGTTTAGCTCGGATCGGACGTGACTTTGAAAGGTTTATCTAGTATTTCCTTTGAGAGAGAATAAACATCATTTGAAGCATAAAAGGACATCACTCTCCTGAGGGCTGTATAAGAATCGATGATCGAGTAAAACTTATTGTGAAATACCGCCATCGCGTCGAGTCCAAGTTGTCCAAGTTACGGCGATTTGATAGTGTGCAAGATGGTTTTAATGGCAAAACTATTTCCATGTTTCTTTGGTTTTGAAAATTTGCCAGCGCTGGAGCGTACAGAATAATACTTTCTTAATCTGCATTAAATCGACTTGCGAAATCGACTTGCGAAATCGACTTGCGAAAATAAATCCGATAATTAGAACTTCCACTCTAGATTTTTTCAGAAAATTGCAAATATAGCCGAATCTTAAGAATCTATCCCTTACCTTTTCTCAGCGGTTGCAGTTCCTTTTAACTCCAATGATCTTTAGTTAGGGTTAGGTTAAGGTTAAATATTTGCATTACAGTCGAATTTGAAAGTAAACCAACGGCAGGGACTGAAAACAAATTAACGAAGAAATATAGAACGGGGAACGGGGAACGGGGAACGGGGAACGGGGAACGGGGAACGGGGAACGGGGAACGGGGAACGGGGAACGGGGAACGGGGAACGGGGAACGGGGAACGGGGAACGGGGAACGGGGAACGGGGAACGGGGAACGGGGAACGGGGAACGGGGAACGGGGAACGGGGAACGGGGAACGGGGAACGGGGAACGGGGAACGGGGAACGGGGAACGGAGAACGGAGAACGGAGAACGGAAAACGAAAAACGGAAAACGGAAAACGAAAAACGGAAAACGGAAAACGAGGAACGGGGAACAGGAATCCGGAATCCAAAAGGAAAGGAGGGAACAGGAATAGAGACTAGGAGTGAGAATAACCGCCACCGAGAAGCGGTAACAGGAAATCAAATGTTCAGTTCTTTACGTTCCATCTAACCAGTAGATTCCATGCTGCAGTGAGTCACAATGATTAGTAATAGATCACATCACAGATGAAGTCAAAATGTGGTAAAAACAAAAAGGTGGCACTCGAAGCACAGCCACTGATATCCTTACCACATTTTAACGTGTAAAGAGAAGAAGAAATGAAAATTGGTAATGGTGACGTCATCTGTGCGTCTGTCAAGAACCAATCAAAATGCACGCGCACTGAAGCTTATCATATGATTCTTTATAAAGAAATCTCCAGCATGGAAGGACAGTTGGTATACTACAGCACAAGTAACATGAAATCTAAGCCAGATGGGCTAGAGGGAATACTTAGGACCTTTTCTAGTCTAGCTCGCTGAAATATTTGAAGACAATTACAATCAGAATGATGAAATAACAGGAACGGGTCCTCAAGTTTGTCGATGAGAAATTCACGATTTACATCGATAGCGGGCCCCCTGCCAAAATAAGAAAAAAACGCTATTTTGTTAGTGCACGCGTTTGTAACGTTTGTAAAAAGCATTGGTTGTAAGACAGCGCCGTGCGATATTATCGTAAGCGATAAAGGTGTTATTCCACGTCAAGGAGATTCTCTCTACAATATCAACATATTTTCAATTATGAATGTGTTAAGAAGAAAGAAAATGTCAACCAAGGTTCATCGCTTCACTAAAGTCCAAATTCTTAGAGACAAAATTATATGAAATGTGCGGCAGGGAGTGTAGAGAATCGATATTTCGATATTGAGTGTTGAGGCGCACAACCTACACGGTTGAATAGTTATATGCAAACAGACAATGCGTAGCAATTTACTTAAGAGATGTGACATTTGAGTGAAAGAATACAACTGTAATGCTAATATTCTCTTGCTTTCTCCCAAGCTGAAACCACCAGAAAAGGCTTCCGACATTACCTTTGACGACTTCCTGCGATTAAAGGTGCACAATCCACTTGGATGAAAAGTTAATAGCAGAAAAGAAACTTCTCAATTTGCAAACAGACAATGTGAAAGAATGCACTTAACAGATGTGTTATCTGAGTGAAATAATACTATTGTAACGTTAATATTCTCTTGCTTTCTCCCAAGCAGAAACCACCAGGAAAGGCTTCCGACATCACCTTTGGCGACTTCCTGCGATTAAAGGTGCACAATCCACTTGGTTGAAAAGTCATCTGACAAAATAAACTTCTCAATTTGCAAACAGACAACGTGAAGCAATGCACTTAATAGATGTGATATCTGAGTGAAATGTTACAATTGTAATGTTAATATTCTCTCGCTTTCTCTCAAGCAGAAATCACTAATGAGAGCTTCCGACATTGCCTTTGGCAAATTCCCAAGTGCAAAGGCGCACAATTCACATAGTTGAATAGTTATTTATAGAAAATAAACTTTTCAATTTGCAAACAGACAATGTGAAGCAATGCACTTAATAGATGTGTTATCGGTAAAGTTTCCGCACAGCCCCATACTATTGTAAAACAAATCTGTTTTCCCAATGGAAATGTATTGTTTTTGTTATCGTTTTCTCTGTTCAAGAACTGAATGTATAATGTAGGATGGGGCTGTGCGGAAATTTTACCGTGTTCAGATTGATTGAGAGAATATAATTGAAATGTTAATATTCTCTTGCTTTTTCCGGAGCAGAAACCACCAGAAAAGGCTGTCGAATTTGCCTTTAGCGAATTCCTACGTTCAAAGGCGCACAATCCACTTGTAGTTTGCACTTAATAAATCGGTAACATCTGAGTGAGAGAATACAATTGTATTGTTAATATTCTCCTGCTTTCCACTAGAAAAGGCTTTCGACTTTGCCCTTGGCAAATTCCTGCGTTCAAACAGTACATTAAAATTGGTGTGACGATTCATCTTCACACTATAGCTAGGTCACTTTGTTTGTCTTGAAAGAGAATTATCAATTTACCGTATGTGAACTCGCAGAAGGAAATAATTGCAAGCAACAAACAAGCAAGGCTCTGAAGTCCTATAAAAGAGGTTCTACTGTACGGAAAGGTAAGACATTACTGGTTTGTACTTGGTCAGATTATCGTCAAGGTTTGAAGAACTGAATTTTTATATGAAGCAAGGCTGATCGAAATAACTCCCAACTTGTTCCAACCAAAGCATACTTAGATTTCGCTTTTAAAGAACCAATAGTTTATGTATTACAAGACACACTGACTTGGAAATAGATTTGTTGAAATAAGATAATTCCTTAAAGTGCCGCTCTCGCTAGGGGTGATCCCCTTGGAAAAAAGGTTTTATTTTTTGCTCATGAAAAGGGTTTAGGACACTTGTCTCAAAAATAATTTAGTTGTTATTCAATTCTCTTTTTTTGCGTCGTCATAAGCCAAAACTGATTTTTGGCTAAACCACCCGTGTGGACAGCGATCGAAAGTGTAAATTTCACAGATTTTCTCCAACGCGCAGCGACGTAATAATATGGCTCACGGAATTCTATCTTACTACATGTTGCAAGATGTATTCAGTCAGTTTACAGACAAAATATGGAAACTTCACCTGAAATATTCATCATACCAGCGTGATCAGAGGATACCCTTCTCTTAAACCTTAATTTGCACATCAAGAATTCACAGAGGTGTTCGAAAGAATTCTCAAAGTGCAGGGGTTAATCGGGCCAAAAAGGTATATTAGTGCATAGCTTATACGCCAATAAGGTCTCCGATTGCCTCAAACCCGCGGGTATACTAATGTCTAAAATGTCTAATTTTCATCCACCAACATCTTGAAAACAACGCAAATCCATGTGTTTGCTAAATTGCGCTCTTGTCAAAGATCATTTACATAATTCTGAAAATTGACCAAGATCTCCTTTTGACTGTTCAAACTTCGTTTGCTTATCTTCTAATTCGAGGATTTTAGGTTTTCGAAACAACTGAATGGAGAATAGATGCCCAGTTGTCCTAAAAATTTGCGTAAACGTGATCGATCGTAACGCTTGCGCGCTTGAGTGACTTACAAAGTGAACGAAGGTGATCGGAAGGCGCCTTAACGATAACTTTCGTTGAAATATTAGGTCATGAACTACGCACAGTGTGGATAAGATCAAAATAAAAGAATAACATTTGACACTCTGGTCATTACAGATATATCGCGTAGCTTAACAGGACACACAAACAAGTTAAAATACGTCACAGTGTTTTTTAAAAAACAACACGCATATATATGCATACTCTCTGAAAGAACTCTTGTAGTTTCTCCACCGAGATTGAGCACACGGAACGCAATGAACTAGCCCTCCTTTCTGCAAATTTGTCTCCATCATTAATGATTTAATGGACCGCTACGGTTTTGAGCGACAAACTCGACATCCCTCTGCGACCATCAAAATGGATCGTGAGGTGTTAATGTGTTATGTTAATTTTTCCCTTGTCATATGACCTGTTTCGCGGGTTATGAAAAGTGAGACCAAAATTAGTTAACGTGAAGGATTAGAATCAATAGTTATTAAAATGGACTGAACAATTTTACATTTGACAGAGGATTTTAATTTGTCTTTTGAAATGTTTACTTGATTCGTGAAAAGCAAAGATTGTAGTGGCTGCGAGTATTTCAGTCCTGATTTCTTTGCTAGAATGCCGGGACGACGTATCGAGTCATTCGAATTACTATCAGCTATCCAGCGAAATCCTCAAGTACAAGTTAATTTTGTTCCATTCCGATCATTCTAACCTTGAAATAGAAAAGCAAAACAGATTTGACTAAATCGAAGATTTTTTAAATATCCTTCAGAACTTTTTTCTCTTTCATTTCGAGAAGGGGTTCATAAGTAGTTATATGTAATGAGCCATTAAGCCCCGCGCGCGCAATCCCGTAGAAAACCGTAGTGGAAGCTGACGTGTATTGGACCAGACGGGTCGACGTAAACCCCTCCCACCTCGATTAGCTGAAGTGCTCTCCTGCGGGTGGGGAATAACTTATCCGATATGTCATTTAATATAAGTGGTAATCAATTTGAACTAGTTAGATTTTCAAGCGATCTGTGTTTGGTTTCAACTCAGTCTCATCGCATATCTCTCAAAATGTAATTTTGACAGTTGCCTGTAACCATAGTGATATATGCTCTGCTTTAGCCCCCCAATTTTTTGCAAAAATAAAAATAAATGAAACAAAAAATAATTCTAAAAAAATTGAATAATTCAAAAATAACGGAGCCAAAAACAGCCCCCCCCCCCCCCCGCCTCAGAAACTTGCTGCGCGGTCCTTGTGTTTATGGAACGGGTAAGATTCTTAACAAAAGATTCGAAACATCGGCGAGACTCTTATATACTTCAAAAGTAATATAAAGGACACTATTTTTTCTTTTCTTCATTCGCATCAGATTGTTAAAAATAAAAACAACAACCTGGACGTTTACCAGTTTCAAACGTTATGTCTCACAAATTATTCAGATTTAAATTCCTCGCACAGTTCTCCACCGTTTCTATGCAGGCAGGTTATGGAACCGATAACTCGTACCGTTACAATGCGATTGCGAAGAGTTTGAAAACAAGGCTTAGGCTTTTTACCATATTGGCAAAAGTTATTTTTAACTCTAGTCATGGCACGCTTCTTTGCATAAGATTGGGGGCTAGATTATTCACTAACTTTTAAACTGCAAAAGCACATTTTCATTTTTTTTCGCTCTAGTTTCCGCCTTGTTTTTTCAAAACATGCAAATCTTTGTCAATATGAAAGCGATCTTCTCAGTAATGAACACTACTTGAGCAGTAGTGAAAATTTTATCCGCAGTTCAAATATATGACTTTCATATATTCACAGTCGTTTATTCACCACTTTACGGGCTTATTTGGAACCAACATGATAACCAGCTCCCAATTGGCTTGTTAGCTCAGAAGGTAGAGTGCTGTACCGGTATCGCAGAGGTCACGGGTTCAAATCTCGTACAGGCCTGAATATTTTTCAGGCCTAATTTCCACTACTGCTCAAGTAGTGTGTTTTATTGCGAGGATCACTTTCATTCACGTCTTTATCCGCAGTTCAAATATGTGACTTTCATAGCTTCACAGTCGTTTATGCAAATCTATCTTGTACACAAAGGAAAGGGGATACAATGTGACATATCATTATTTTGTAAATAATTGAGAGCATTTTTGCTACTTTTCTTCACCGTTACTAAGTAACAGTTAGAGGCCTGGGCACGAGATGGATGTTTCAAACACAGCTGTGTACATATTAATGACTGTTTCGCTAATCAAAGATGCGTACATCATTCTTTCTTTCTTATTTCATCGCCTGCCATAAACTCGTCCTTGAATCGTGAATAGACAACGTAGAAAATCATTTTAAGTCATTTGGTTGCCCGAAATGTTTATTTGAGGATGAAAATCAAGGAAGATCAAGTTTTTATTGCCAGGCTAATAGAGACGATTGCTACTTCTTCGTGCTAAGCTCTTGTCACGCAAAGGTGAAGACACAACTTACGATAAAGAGTGAATCTGATCCTCACACACACAGTGCTGAGGGAGGAAAGTACGTACTGCTTAAAGGTATGAAATGAAATGAATTTATCAAAATAACAGGTGAGATATTTATGTTCTCACACTCAGCGATGAAAAAGTGAAGGACTGCGTGTGTTTGTTGCCTCTGTACTTTATTTGTTGCCTCTTTACTCTTAAGCCCAAGATGTCAGATGTGGTCTGTTACATATAGTTTGTCATACCCAACTTAATTTTTCTACTGACTACATAATTTATTATCCGTTTCCCTTGAGCAATACAATCATTCGAATCATTGAGTAGATCCTTGAGGAAAAACAATGTTCCCTAATCTTCTTGTAAACAGTTGATGAGCTGAAAAATGTGAACCTAGAACTGAGTTAAAATCCAATTGAAGCTCTAACCACTCCAGCATACGCGCGAAAAACTGATTAAAAGCAAGGATGTGCTCTTCGGAGCTTTGCTCGTATTACTTAAATATTGCTCTTTTACTCGATGAAAAATACGGTTTTATTGAAATTTCAGCTCATAAGCTATATTCATACAGGTAATTTTAAACAATAACAAGCATAATTTTGGACAAGAGAATTTGTGCTCGTGTTCTTTTTGTTTTGGTTTATGGAGTAAAACAAATAAACGCGCTTATTATTCAGTAAAACAAAAATAAAATTAAATACAAGCAACGTTCTAAACTGTCAATGAAAGACAATTTCCTAGACAACGCTTCTTAATAGCAATTATTTTAGACAATACAAATATTTTTGCGAGTCAAAAGAAGTTTGAACTCAGCGGTTTAAAGTTCGAATAATTTGAGAGACCTTTCTTCATGTTTTCAACTTGCAGTTGTTTTATAACAGGCGAAACACTTGTATCGCCAGCGAATCGTGGTAATGAAAACTGACTAATTCTGCTGCTTCGCAATCATTTGGCAATGAGGATACTTAGTTTACAACACGTGCCAAAAAAACTAAACGCTATCAAGGTACAGCATGACTCCCTCTTACCATTTAACTTAACAGATCACCGTAATAAATTATAATTTTAACGAACTATAATTGTACCTCGCCAAATAACTTTGGCTCAGCAATTTCCTAATCTTTTTCTTCATTCAGTTCTTACCTCAGTCTCCTTTTTTGACTGGCCTTTATTAATAAAGACGGGGAGAGAGATGATACGTTTCACTTACTTTGTTTTGAATCTAGTCTCTTACATCTAGCTCTAGATATTTGAGATTTCCACACTTATAGAGATCTGCAATATTTAACCAAATGGTTAGAGGACAATAATCTTGTTTGAAATGTTTCCAACTGTGAGTGCCTATTAGTTATCTCCCAAAGGCACATAGGGCGTGGTTGTAATTTACATTTAATCTTCTTAGATAGGCTATACCTTGTGAAATTACTCTATAAAACACCCAGGATTAGTTTTTGACATCTTTATGTCGTGGAAGGCTCACGCGCAATATTTGTTTAAAAAAATGTGTTGACAAGAAGTAAGACGGAGTCTCCGACGAAGCAGTTCTGCCGATTCACTTGAATTAAAGATTTCGTTCATTTTCCTGTATGTTGTAAGAAATTCATGAACTTATACCAAAACCACAATCAGCTTGATCGGATCTCTTTATTTTACTGAGTGTACGGATATAGAAGTTTACTTGAGAGAAGCGAATCACGACGAATATTTACCACTTCAAGGGTTTATTTGGAACCAACATAACGACCAACTCCCGGTTGGCTTGTTAGCTCAGTTGTTTGAGCGCTGCACCAGTATCGCAGAGATCATGGGTTCAAATCCCGTACAGGCCTGAATTTTTTTTTCAGGCCTTATTTTCATTACTGCTCAAGTAGTGTTCATTACTGCGAAGATCGCTTTCATATTCACGTCTTTATCCGCAGTTCAAATATGTGACTTTCATATATTCACTGTCGTTTATGCAAATCGATCTTGTACACGAAGGAAGGGAATACAATGTGACATATCATTATTTTGTAAATAATTGAGAGCATTTTTGCTACTTTTCTTCACCGTTACTAAGTAACAGTCAGAGGCCTGGGGACGAGATGGATGTATCAAACACGGCTGTGTACATTCTTTCTTCCTTATTTTATCACCGTTTTCTCCTATAAACTGGTCCTTGAATCGTGAATAGACAACGGAGAAAATTATTTCAAGTCATTTGATTGCCCAAAATGTTTATTTGAAGAAGGAAATCAAGGAAAATCAAGTCTTAATTGCCGGGCTAATAGAAACGATTGCTACTTCCTCACGCTAAGCTCTTGTCACGTAAAGGTGAAGACACGATAAAGAGTGAATCTGATCCTCACACACACTGCTGAGGGAGGAAAGTACTTACTGCTTAAAGGTATGAAATGGAATTAGTTTATCAAAATAACAGGTGAGGTATTTATGTTAATTCTTACACTTAGCGATGACAAAGGGAAGGACTCCGTGTATTTGTTACCTCTTTACTTTAAAAGTCCAAGATGTCAGATGTTGTCTGTTACACATAGTGTGTCATACCCAACTTAATTTTTCTATTGACAACATAATTTATCATCCGTTTCCCTTGAGCAATACAATCACTCGAATCACTGAGTAGATCCCTTAATCTTCTTGTAGCCTGTTGATGAGCTTAAAATGTGGACCTAGAACTGAGACAAAGTCCAATTAAAGCTGATCGCTTCAGTATGCGCGCAAAAAAATGAATAAAAGCAAGGGTGTGCCAGTCGAAGCTTTTCTCGTGTTACCCAATTACTGCTCTTTTACGCGATGGAAAATACGGTTTTATTGAAATTTCAGTTCATAAACTATACTCATATAAGTAATTGATCGCCAGAATGTGCTATGAAGCTTTGGATTTTAAACAACTACAAGTATAATATTGGATAAGAAAATGTACGCTTGTTTTCTTTTTGTTTTGGTTTATGGAGTAAAACAGATAAACGGGCTTATTATTCAGTAAAACAAAAATAAAATTAAATGCGAGCAATGTTAAAAATTGCAAATGAAAGACAATTTCCTAGACAACGCTTCTTAATAGCAATTATTTTGAACAATACAAAAACCTTTGCGAGTCAAGTGGAGTTTGAACTCAACGGTTTAAAGTTCGAATAATTTGAGAGACCTTTCTTCATGTTTTCGACTTGTAGTTGTTTTATAACAAGCGAAACACTTGTATCGCCAGCGAATCGTGGTGATTAAAACTCACTTATTCCGCTGCTTCACCATCATTCAGCGATAAGGATACTTAGTTTACAACACGTGCCAGAAAAACTAAACGCTATCAAGGTACAGCATGACTCCCTCTCACCATTTAACTTAACAGATCACCGTAATAAATTACAACTTTATTGAACTATAATTGTACCTCGCTAAGTAATTTTGGCCTAGCAATTTCCTCATTTCTTTTCCTCATTCAGTTCTTACCTCAGGCTCCTTTTTTGATCGGTCATTACTAATTAAGATGGGGAGAGAGATGATATGTTCCCCTTTATTTGTTTTATATGTAGTCTCTTACATCTAACTCTAGATATTTGAAATTTTCACATTTATAAAGATAAGAAGTATTAACTAAATAATTAGAGGGCAAAAATCTTGTTTGAAATGTTTCCAACTGTGAGTGCCTATTATTTATCTATCAAAGGCACATAGGGCGTGGTTGTAATTTATATCTGAATCTTCTCAAAAAAAGTTATATCTTGTGAAATAACCCAGGATTAGTTTTTGACATCTTTATATTGTGGAAGACTCACGCGCAATATTTGTTTTAAAAAAATGTGTTGACAAGAAGTAAGCGGAGTCTCCGTCGAAGCAGTCCTGCCGATTCGCTTGAGCTACAGATTTCGTTCATTTTTTTTTTGAAATTCATGAACCTCTACCAAAATTACAATTTGCTTGATCGGATCTCTTTATTTTACCGATTGACAGACATCAAAGTTTACTTGAGAGAAGGCGAATCACGGCGGCTTTCAAGACCTTTGTTTGTCATAACTTTGGAGGACAAATAGAGAAAACTGAGAAACTAGATTGAAAACATATACCAATGTTGTGTTTATTATGTCTGTATCTTATCCATCGAGGCGGCTTTTGTAAGGGTAACCGAACCCCTTACCACGCCTCTCCACCCTGCGTCTTGCCTCAGTGAATTGTTCTCTCTTTACCCAGCGGTTATTTTCGCGAAATACATGTAAACGTGGCATCATATTCTAATCAAGCCTCGTTTCACTGTTCTTGTCGATGACGAAATCAAAATGTCGCTGTGAGTTTGCTTCGTCTAATGAAGCAGTTGTATGTTGCAGTTCCTACACCATATGGGAATGAAAGCTTCAGTGACGCTGTCGATTTCCACTTGTGGAATCGAAGGTAAAAATTAGCAGAGTAGCTGCTGGAAAATTCGGCGCTGAGTAAGGACGACTGATAAGTTGAACGAAAACAACATTACCTGGATCAGTTTACTACGAAAAGACATCGACAGATGACAGGACCATTAAAATAGATAATCTCACATTGCTTGCGTCCTTCTGAGGCAATTGGATATTTGCACTAGCCGACTTTCCCTCGAGCAGACGCTCCTATCACATGGCCAACCTTCTCTGCCTTTATTCATCAGCTCCCACAAACATTTCATCACACTGTAATGGATTTTTCCAATAAAGAATTTTTCCTCGGTTATCCCTACTAAGGGTTAGACTAATTATGGTAGAAGGACTTGGCTCTTTAATTCAGCAGCGCGGAATTTTTCTGAATTCCCATTAAGCAGTGCAAATGCCGAGAGCACACAGATTTTCTTCCCCCCAGCAAGACTTATTTGTTCTCATGATAATGTGTAATGATGATGAGGGATTTCTATAGCGCCATTTCCTTGAGTTAACGGTGCTGTATAACACTTTGAGGGGGACTTTGGCCTGACTGCATTAAACAGTTTACAATTTTGTTGAAACGATTTCGGAAACGAGGCCAGACCTCAACACCGGAAGCTACATTTCCTACTCCAGCTCTGCTAGAAGTGCTTGGGCTTTTTATCGTGACTTTTGATGATGTTTCGTTGTAACTTAAGTATATTTTATGCTTCAATGAAATGATATCACTTTGATTCGTTCATGGATATCACCCTTCGAGCTGATAGGCCACCTTGTTAAAATAAAGTTTTTTTCAACTTTACTGCAACCTCTATTAGATAACGAGATATCTCAACAGTTCAAGGGGCGAAATAACCAACGGTAAAAGAGAATGAAGCGCATGAAACTTCACTTCTCAACTTAAAAAAAAAACCATATAACTCAAGATAAAAGCCTTCATAGAAAAGTGTCTCTTTAGCATTTTTAGACCCACATCTTTCTCAATGTAGTCTTCATACAACCACGTTCTACTACGCTTTTTTTCAAATAGTTCATCCACAATTTCTCCATCAATCTTTCGTTTACTTGAATTTCTGTTCCAAGGACGCAAACGTTTTCATGTGGTTCCGGTAAGAGTACAGTTTTATGCTCGTTCTTTCTCCCGCTCTTTCTTGAGATGCACTTACCCTTTTGTTTATATTTCTAATTGTTTCTTTCCTTAGATAAATTCAAATTTAAAAAAAAATGCCAATCAAGAGCCAAACAATTACAATTAGAGTATTAGGAGTTAAGATCTAATGATATCCTTAAAATAAGTTGTTTAAAGCGAAGCATAGGAATCCTCAACAATTTTATCACCTTTTTAAACTTCTGATTATCTTTTGTTTTTGATAGTCGGTCGAAAGCTTTTGTTTTATATCGACTATTTTGACACTATCAATTAACTGAGATGATATAGAGGGGTTTGTGCCATATTGGCTAAAATAAGTCCAGTTGTGACAGATGTACTGAGAATATTGACTGGATTGTAGCGGAAAGACCTTAATGATTAACATTGAAAGTACACGTATATGATATACGGTTTTAGTCGCCAGTGTCACTTCCACGACTGTCTAATTTTTGATCTACACGAATTTTGTTCAAGACAATCTTTTTCTTCCTAATTCCCCTTAAATAATCTTAATTTTGTTGTTGTTTTTGTCGTTGTTTTTCATCCAAAAAGGTATCAGTCGACGTTTGAAATACTAACAAGATCAAACAGTTGCATATTTGCAGGAGGAAAATGAAGTCCTAATTCCAGTAATAGTTACTCTTGATAAACCCGCTAAAGTTCGATAACATGTTCACAAAATATGTCTATGACAATTTAACAGGAGTTAAAATTTCCATGGGCAGCAATAGATGTCAGATCTGTTTATGGTACGGGTAAGTCTCTTAGCAAAAGATTCGAAGCATTGGCGAGACTCTTATAAACTTCAAAAGTAATATAAAGGACACTATTTTTTCTTTTTTTTTCATTCACATCAGATTGTTTCAAACGATATGTCATTCAAATGACTCAAATTTAAATTCATTGCACTGTTCTCCACCGTCTCTATGCAAGCAGGTAATTTAACAAATTCTTTTTACCATATTAACAAAAGTTATTTTTGACTCTATTCATGGTGCGCTTCCTTGCATAAGATTGGGAGCTAGATTATCTACTAATTTTTAAACTGAAAAAGCACCTTTCCATTTTTTTTCGCTCTAGTTTCCGCCTCGTTTTTTCAAAACATGCAAATCTATGTCAATATCAAAGCGATCTTCGTAGTAATGATTACTACTTAAGTAGAAGTGAAAATTTTATCCGCAGTTCAAATGTGTGACTTTCGTATATTCACAGTCATTTATTTACCACTTCGCGAGTTTTTTAGGAACCAACATAATGACCAGCTCCCACTTGGTTTTTAGCTCAGTTGGTAGACCACTGCACCGGTATGACAGAGGTCATGGGTTCAAATCTCGTACAGGCCTGAATTCTTTTTTCAGGCCCTATTTTCACTACTGCTTAAGTTTCAACAGTTTTTAACTTTCATATATTCATAGTCGTTTATGCAAATCTATCTTGTACACAAAGGAAAGGGAGTACAATGTGACATATCATTATTTTGTAAATAATTGAGAGCATTTTTCCAACTTTTCTTCACCGTTACTAAGAAACAGTCAGAGGCCTGGGCGCGAGATGGATGTATCAAACACGGCTGTGTACATTCTTTCTTCCTTATTTTATCACCGTTTTCTCCTATAAACTGGTCCTTGAATCGTGAATAGACAACGGAGAAAATTATTTCAAGTCATTTGATTGCCCAAAATGTTTATTTGAAGAAGGAAATCAAGGAAAATCAAGTCTTAATTGCCGGGCTAATAGAAACGATTGCTACTTCCTCACGCTAAGCTCTTGTCACGTAAAGGTGAAGACACGATAAAGAGTGAATCTGATCCTCACACACACTGCTGAGGGAGGAAAGTACTTACTGCTTAAAGGTATGAAATGGAATGAATTTATCAAAATAACAGGTGAAGTATTTATGTTAATTCTCAGACTTAGCGACGACAAAGTGAAGGACTCCGTGTATTTGTTGCCTCTCTGCCTTAAAAGTCCAAGATGTCAGATGTGGTCTGCTACATATAGTGTGTCATACCCAACTTAAGTTTTTTACTTACAACATAATTTATTATCCGTTTCCCTTGAGCAATACAATCACTCGAATCACTGAGTAGATCCTTGAGGAAAAAAAATGTCCCCTAATCTTCTTGTAACCAGTTAATGAGCTGAAAAATGTGGACTTAGAACTGAGTTAAAATTAATTGAAGCTGATCACTCTAGCATGCGCGCGAAAAAGTAAGTAAAAGCAAGGATGTGCCCGTTGGAGCTTTTCTTGTGTTACTTAGATACTTCTCTTTTACGCAATGAAAAATACGGTGTTATTGAAATTTCAGTTCATAAACTATACTCATATAGGTAATTGATCGCCAGAATATGTTAAGAAGCTTTGGATTTTAAACAATAACTAGTATAATTTTGGACAAGAGAATGTGCGCTCGTGTTCTTTTTGTTTTGGTTTATGGAGTAAACAGATAAACGGGCTTATTATTTAGTAAAACAAAAATAAAATTAAATGCAAGCAATATTATAAATTGCAAATGAAAGACAATTTCCTAGACAACGCTTCTTAATTGCAATTATTTTAACGAGTCAAGTGGAGTTTAAACTCAGCGGTTTGAAGTTTTGAATAATTTGAGGGACCTTTCTTCATGTTTTCGACTTGTAGTTGTTTTATCACAGGCAAAACACCTGTATCGCCAGCGAATCGTGGTGATGAAAACTGACTAAATCCGCTGCTTTACTATCACTCGGCAATAAGGATACTAGTTTACAACAAATGCCAGAAAAACTAAACACTACAAGGATACAATATGACTCTCTCTTACCATTTAACTTAACAGGTCGCCGTAATAAATTATAACTTTATCGAACTGTAATTGTATCTCACCAAGTAACTTTGGCTCACAATTTCCTCATTTATTTTCTTCAGTCAGTTCTTGCCTCAGGCTCCTTTTTTGACTGGCCATTACTAATTAAGACGTGGAGAGAGATGATATGTTTCACCTAATTTGTTTTATATGTAGTCTCTTACATCTAACTCTAGATATTTGAAATTTTTACACTTATAAAGATCTGCAGTATTGAACTAAATGGTTAGAGGACAAAAATCTTGTTTGAAATGTTTCCAACTGTGATTGCCTATTATTTATCTCTCAATGGCACATAGGGCGTGGTTGTAATTTACATCTGAATATTCCCAGAAAGGCTATATCTGGTGAAATTACCCAGGATTAGTTTTTGACATCTTTATGTCGTGGGAAGCTCACGCCCAATATTTGTTCGAAAAAAATGTGTTGACAAGAAGTAAGAAAGAGTCTCCGTCGAAGTGTCCTGCCGATTCCCTTGAGGTACAGATTTCGTTCATTTTCCTTTATGTTGTAAGAATTTCATGAACTTATACCAAAACCACAATCTCCTTGATCGGATCTTAAGCGAGTGTACGGATATCAAAGTTTACTTGAGAGAAGGCGAATCACGACGGCTTTCAAGACCTTTGTTTGTCATAACTTTGGAGGACAAATAAAGAATGAAATACGTGAAGGAAAGCTTCAGTGACGCTGTTGATTTCCTCTTGTGGAATCGAAGATAAAAATTGGCAGAGCAGCTGCTGTAAAATTGGGCGCTAGGTAAGGACGACTGATAAGTTGAACGAAAACGACGTTACCTGAATCAGTCTCCTACGAAAAGACATAAACAGATAACAGAGCCATTAAAATAGGTCTGCCTAGATAATTACACATTGCTCGCGGATATTTGCACTAGTCAACCTTCCCTCGAGCAGACGTTCCTACCACAAGGCCAACCTTCTCTGCCTTTACTTTTTAGCTCCCACCAACATTTCATCATACTCAAATGGATTTTTTTAACAAAGCATTTTTCCTTGGTTATCCCTTACTGAGGGTTAAACTTAATTATGGGATAAGGATTTAGCTCTTTAATACAGAAGCGTGGAGTTCGCACACAGACTTCCTTACCCCCAGCAAGACATATTTGTTCTCATGATAATGTGTAATGTTAATGAGGGATTTCTATAGCGCCATTTCCTTGAGCTCATGGCGCTTTACTACACTTTGAGGGGGACTTTGGCCTAACTGCATTCAACAATTCACGATTTTTGAAAAAATAAATTTGTAGATGTCTTCAATTTCGGAAACGAGATCAGACCACAACACCGGGACCTACGTTCCCCTCTCTCTGCAAGAAGTGTGTGGGCTTTATATCATGAATTTGATGATGTTTCGTTGTAAATTAGCTATATTTTAGAATTTTGGTATGATATATGGTGTTGATTCGTTAATGCGGGTAAATTTCAAGATGCAAGGCCTCCATGGATATCAGCCTTCGAGCTGATAGACCACCTCGTTAAAATAAAGCTTTTTCAACTTTACTTGAACTTCTATTAGATAACGAGATATTTTAACAGTTCAAGGGGCGAGATAGTCAACAGTAAAAGGGAAGGAAGCGCATGAAACTCCACTACTCAGCTACGAAAAAAACGCATTCAACTAAAGATAATAGCTTTGATTTAAAAGTCTCTCTTTAAAATTTTTAGACCTACATGTGGCTCAGAGGTAGGAGGCACTGTCAATCAGTATGCTTTCATGTGCGTTTATAAGTTAATCTTTAATGTAGTCCTCTAACAAACACTTTCTACTGCGCTTTTTTCAAACATTTCCATCCAGAATTTCTCCATCAATCTTTCGTTTACATGAGTTTCTGTCCCATGAACTCAAACGTTTTCATGTGGTTTCGGTAAAAGTGCTGCTTTATGCTCGTTCTTTCTCGTCCTTTTTTCTGAGCCGCGCTTGCCTTTTTCTTTATGTTTCTCACCGTTTCTTTCGCTTGATAAATTCGAATAAAAAAAAACGAAAAAATGCCAAACAAGAACCAAACAATTATAATTAGAGTATTAGGAGTAAAAATCTACTGATAGACTTAAAAATAAGTTGTTTAAAGCTAAGCATAGGAATCTGAGACAATTTTATCATCTTAAAAAAACTTTTTTAACTTCCGAATATCTTTTGTTTATAGCAGACGGTCGAAAGCTTTTGTTTCATATGGACTATTTTGACACTATCAATTGACTACATTCATTCATTACTTTGAAGACAGAAGAAATCGTGTTGAACCGGTGTGAATGAAATAGAAATATTTAAATAATAATTTTCAGTTAACCGCGAAATTGAATCGTAGTTACTGGGTTTTACTGATAAAGTCTCTTTAAAGCTTAATCTACATCGCATTTATCGCTTTTAAGGATACAGGAAACGCGAACGACTTGGCAAGCGCCAATTTTCCCGCTATTTTCCCTTGAGCCACAGGTCGCGGTTGATCGCTTCTTACAGGTCCGTATCTCGAACTGCAGGTCTTTGAATAAATAACCAATAGCTTACCACATAAATACCATATTGTGTAAGCAAATGAAGCAACCTGAAAAGTTTTTATCTTGGCGTTAGAAATCAGTTCTTTAAGTATTGAATTTTTTCTTACAAAAATGTGATTTTAGGCAACCATGAGACGAAAGAGAAGATTCAAGACTCAGCTGGCTTGCGGTGGAGTACTTGCTGTCCTGTTTACTGCTTTGGCTTACCATGACCTAAGCAAGGACATTACAAGCGAAAGTACAGCAATCACAAAAGAACATTCAGGTAGATCATGATATCGTAAACAGTTCGATGTACCTGTAAGGAAAACAGTGAAACAAAAGGTTTTTATATTTTGAAAACAAATATTTTGTTTGACGTCTGATTTGAATACCACCTACAAGGTAAACAAATATTTGTTAGTGGCAGGCCCCCCCACCCCCAGAAGTGAGCCTTCGTAAAATACTCGTTTGATTGTAGATCAGATTCCACATTCAGTATTTCTTCTGGAAACGTTCTGTGTTTAAAACTTATCATCTAAAAAATTAGGTGTCCTACGATTGCAGCTTCTCTGCGGTATTGCCTTCAATAACCACTACGCGAAAACTGGCCTTGCTTCCCATCAGCGTTGGTTTTTCAGATCCCTCCGCTTAAAGGAGAATGATGCTAAATTCAAAGTGAAAATTTTCATATATTTCTTTTGTAGGAAATATATTAGAAAAATTGTTTGTAAGCTTGGTAATCTTGCTGATGGGTCATTGCAGTTAAATATACTCGACAGGGCAAATGAAAGCGATGCAGTTTTTAAAATGGAAACTTGATAGATTCACGAAAATTCTTAAATTAGTTCAGTAGCTCACTGAGCTAATGGTTTATCAAAACGATCATAGGCTAAAGTTTTACCTCAATACCAATTTTTTTAAAAAGGAAAACGATACTTTCCAGAGGCGCAGAGTACCTGTTTCATTCGCAGTTTTTCAAGAAGCAGTGACATTGTCAGATAAGTCTTGTCATAACAAAAAAAATTAACACCTACGCACCGCTGAATTATTTGGCTTTGCAATACAATCATCTGCATGCTCGTAGGTCCCTCGAAACTAAAAAGCTAAAAAAATTTCTAATATGGGAATTCCCATATCGTTCTTTATTAACTTGTTTATTTCATTATTACCTTAGATGTGTCATATTGTCACAAACTGAAACATTGCAGTCTTCATTCTTATTCAATTAGGCACTTTATTTCTGAACAAATGCAAGAGCCATTCCCCTCCCTATAAGATGAAAAGTTTTCTACTAATTTCCTCGGGTAATTATTTGTTTGCTTTATTTTTATACAGTGTTAGAAGTAATTCCATTCTTTTAAAATCCCTTTTAGAAATATCGTTTACGTCAAGGCATCTTTCAGCTCACAAAACCCACAAGCTGAAAAACTGCACGCCACCATCGATAGAGGAGTTCCCGAACGATTTTTTCAACCAGAAGCAAAGGCAACATGGCGCTGTTATTGTTAACTTTGCAGTCGCCTTCTACATGTTCTGGGCAATAGCTATAGTGTGTGATGATTATTTTGTGCCATGTTTGGAGATCATCTGCGAGAAAATGGATCTTCAAAGTGATGTAGCTGGGGCGACGTTTATGGCCTTAGGAAGTTCAGCACCTGAGCTTTTTGCTTCTGTGATTGGTTAGTAACCTGACTTATGGTATCTCTCAGTTATTACGCGAGCCATGATTGGTCAATTTAGAAGGCTGAATTTCACGGTACGACCCGCTTAATTCAGTCGGGAATTTTTTCGTGCTTTCACTGAGCATTTTATTTTATTTTTTAGGTGTATTTGTCACAAAAGGAGACATTGGGGTTGGAACTATTTTAGGATCAGCAGTTTTTAACGTACTTTTTGTGATTGGTGTCTGCGGCATTGGGGCAGGCACGGTAAGCTAAGTAAAGCATACATCAATCAGCAAAATAATACAGGCTTCTCATATGCCAAACACAAAATGCTTTTCAATAAGTAAACAAACCTTTTAATTGCCTGTAACTCCTCTTTGAAGCCTTGATTTATTTCAAATTGTCAACAGTATCTTTTTCTGGTTTTATTCTATCAATTTTAACAAATCTTTCTAACTTTTTATCTGTTGTTGTTGTTGTTTTCGCTCTGAACAGAAATATCTTTATTTAAATTGGTTTAAAATTTTTTCCTCACGTTCATGTTCACTTGATTCCTTTAGGTTTTGTACCTTGCTTGGTGGCCTTTAGTCAGGGACAGCATGTTCTATCTGTTCAGTCTTGTTATACTCATGTTGGTTCTTATGGATAACATAGTCATCTGGTGAGGAGGTTTCAAATAATTATCGATAGCATTTAAACTTGCATGTGATGATTCGATTGCTAACTTAACAGTGAGGAAAGTGTCTGAAGGGGTAAAAATGGGATCTAGGTTTTGTAAGCTGGTAAATTTTAAAAATAATTTGGCTCAAATGTTGTCCGGAAAAAGGAGTAATGTAAAATTTGATCCGGGAAATTAAATCCGTGCACCCACCCCTCCCCGCCTTTATTGATAATCATGGTTTTTCATTGATTATCTGTTCGTTTCCTGTTCTAACAAACTTGAAAATCACTAAAGTTGATTAAAACTTCATGTTCCTGTTGAACACCAGCTAATTACCTGACCATGGTACACAATCCTGGCTGGGCCATGAATGAGAATGATACACGAAATAGAGGTTTGGGAGAAAAAAATGGAAACAAAACTCCAGATTTTAAATTCAAAAACGAAATTAGTGGATAAAAGTTGAACCAGTTTCACTTTTTTGAAAAACTTTCCTCTAAAAGTATTCATGATATCTCCTCAGGTCAGAAGCCACGGCTATGGTTTGCTTCTACTCAGTCTACCTTCTGATTATGTTTTTCAATCCTCGCATCGAGGCGTGGCTCTACAGGGTGACAAACACAACTAGCCCTGAATACAAGTCTGAACTTCACGCTAATAACGGCAAGAAAAACGGGTACTCAAAAGTTCCCGGAGATGACTCAGAAAATACTGAATTTGAGAAAAACAAGGAGAAAGACGATTTAAAAGAAGTAAAAGAAGACAACGAACAAAATAAAAAGGAGGAAGAAAAGGAAACGAAACCTGTATTCTCTGGTAAAATTTCCATTTGATTCTCAAATGTACGTGTACGCTGTACATGTTTCAAGTAACTGATAGGGATTTTTTACCTCCGTGTGCAAAAACTTAAAAGTGTTGTGGCTTGATACCTGTAGTTATTTCCACAATTTTGATCATCACGGGCAAAAAAAGATGTTAGAGATCCTGGAAAGATAGTAAAAAATAACAGTTCGGTGGAAATAAAAGAAAACAGAATATGGATTGTTAAGGATGGAGAAGAGTCCTATGCATGTCGAAGGTTACAAGCTATGATGAAACTGTTGCCATAGGAATAAACCCATAGGTTCTAAAAAGAGAAAAGAAAGACTAATAAAAAGTCTTTCAATGTTCTTTTTTTTTTTTTTTTTTTTTCAATCCTCAGAAAGCGGCGAGCATTTGGCTCATCACTATGAATATGATCAACAAAGACCTCACGAGGTCCCAGATCTCACCCTAGGAACGCCATTGAGTCCACCGGAAGGAGTCTGGGCTCGCTTCTGCTGGGCGCTTGGGCTGCCAATCAACATTTTATTCTATTTCACAATACCAGATGTAAAAAAGGAATCTTGTCGTAAGTTCGTGGGATTCTCTTTTGTGGTGTGCATTGTGTGGATTGGTGTGACGTCATACATTCTTGTTTGGATGGTTACTATAATTGGATACACTTTCATGATTCCTGATACCGTTATGGGACTTTCTCTTGTTGCTTTCGGTAGCAGTGTTCCCGACTGCTTATCAAGCCTCTTTGTAGCGCAGAAAGGTGGGTGCCAAATTTGTCTCATCGTTATATTAAGAGTTTGTTTTCTGCAGTTATTTTTTCCTGTTTAACCCTCGATGGATCTTGAGACCACCCAATATTTATCGCATTCCCCGTGGGGGGAAGAGGCTGGGACTAAAAGGACTATTGGGGTCCCCCCTTCGTTCCTCCTGAACGAAGGGGGGACCAGTGCGTCGCTAATGAAAAGGGGGACTGTCGAAAATTGACTGCCAATTAATTGTTGATGCAGAGGGGGGGTGGGGGGGGGGTCACAAGGATATTACATAGCCTTCACGGTGGGGGAGGGAATCTGGTAAATTTATCTTTACACAACTGGTGTAACTTGGACAGTACAACAATAAGCAACTATTGGATGAGTTTGAACATGTTACTATTAATTATGCGAGGTCTGAGTTATTCGCCGAAGGCGGAGACTGATAACAAAGTTACGACTTTTGATAATTCATGATATCGTGAGAAAACGGAATTCTATAATTGTTTTATCCTACAGTTTTTTAAATAATCTGTACAAGAAGAAACTTCTCTCTGAATTTGCAAAAGCTTGGGAACCAGCCACAAGGGCAAGGGCCTTGGAAACTAGGCAGACTTTGAACTCGGCATATTATTCAATACCTGATGCAGATGTTAGGTTGTCATGTCTACTTCACAAGCTATTGTCTATTGACAGAATGCTCTCTCGACCAATCAGTTTTCATACTCAGTCTGATGCATGATAATTGCAATTTAAGGTTTTTCGGAGAGAAATAAATACCCCTTACTGATCGGGTTGATATCTGTTCTGTAAATTTAGGAGCCGAATTTTAGCCCCACGATTCATGGCTGAGTGCGAAGCGCACAGGTCATTATCGAAGGAGGAAAAAGAGGATTTTTGACACGACGGAATGACAAGCCAAAATTAGCGAGGCATTTATCATTTCCCTTCTGTTTCCGACGGGTTCTTCAAAAACGAAATGAATCAATTTCAAATCTTTGTTCTACTGTTAACACGATTCAGCTTATTAACGTAGACACTAAAAGATCTAAACTAACATTTTCCAAACTTACTGATTTAAAATCACAAATTAATTTGGTGGCATAAAAAAATTTACCATTTAAAGTGACCGCAAAATTTATTAGTTGCGGCAAAATATAACCCTGAGGCATAAAACACATTGCGTAAAACTTTATTGCAAACTTAGGATAATGGTCGATCCCAGGATTAAAATTCGGAACCCACTCAGTTGCCATTATTTTTTTTTTTTACTTTTCTTGTAGGTGACGGAGATATGGCCGTGTCGCACACAGTTGGTAGCAATGTATTCGACATCCTGTTGTGCCTAGGAATTCCCTGGCTTGTCAAAACCACTGTTTGGGACTATGACTCAGCAGTCGTCATCAACAGTCACGGACTCTTCGTCTCTTGTTTCTTCATTTTGGGCTCAATAGCTGTCACGCTGTTTATTATTTACTACTATAAATGGGTTTTGGATAAAAAAGTGGGCTGCATCTATCTTATATTTTACTTTATATTCATGGGCATATCTATCTATGTGGAAATGAAAGCGTTTGGGAAGTACAACCCGCCTATGTGTATCGTAGACGTTTGAATTTCAAGTCCTATCTATATTTGGAAAGCCATTAAAATTGGCCATTGTTATATTTCAATTGACATGGTGTTCGTAGTTCAACTTAACTGTATGTACTTGAAGAATACTCTGGTCGAGGGTTTTAAACATGAGATGCAACTTTCCTCGATGGCATTCAATCGTGCCTGCATTCTAGAATACCAAACAGTTAGAAAAAAGGCTGACCGAGAACAGTTAACATCCATAATAGTATGTCAGAATAACTTGAATCAATCTTGTTTCTTGTACTAGTTTCGCCTTTAAGAGAGATAGAACACCTCGGCGACTAGTTTCCTACTCCCATTTGCCACGAACATACAAAGAACCATGCTGATGATATCATTTGAAGACTTTTCAATTCCAAAAGGATGGATAAGATTTTAAGGCAATGTTATTCTTTTACAGGTTAATCTATCCTACACAGAATTTGCACGAAAAATGACAACAATCCTTGCTTTCATTTTGCGTGCCATTAAACATGCCATTAATCACGGGAGTCAAGGGCTCTGCTGGATTAAACGTGTTTTAAGACACACACTATTTTTTAAATTAGATTACGAAAGACAATGACTCTACCAGAAAGGAAGTTTGTGAGAGTAGGAAAGTGATTAAAGTTTTTGGTGTATGCAACCAAAAAATAATTTCTTGCTTGGGAAAAAATTTAAGTGCTTTACAGGTGTAAAAAGGTGAGGAACTTTCCACCGGGTGATTAATGAAAAGGATAATATTATTCAGATCAATGCAATAAATATCTTCCTTTTTTGAAATATCTTTTTCATTATTTGGGGGTGTACGGTAAAGGAGCTACTTTTATATTATATTACACTGAGAAATTGTTTTTAATCTGATATATTAAATGCGGTACAAGAATTTCCAGCCCTGAGAAAAACAATAACTGCACACGCGTAAACTAACGATATTTTATAACGTGTGTTTGATGTCGCTAAATAGCTGGTAACACGTCACTCTTTCGCGCCACTCTCGTGAGTAAAGTCGGCTTTTCTTGTCAGTGAAGGCCCATGGTGTTTTTATGATAATAAACAGACTAATATAAGGTTTCTTTTAGATATGAAATTTCTTGTCTCATGTTCAATGCGATATCTCACAACTGAGCGCAGCGAACAAGTAAGATATCAGATTGAACAGGAGAAGAGAAATTCCCCATCTACAAGCAACCATGTATGACCTTATTGCGGTAAGAAAATGTTACTGACAAAATACACCCACTGAAATAATTTTACAATCTTTTTAGCGCAGAATATTACCACACGAACGAGAGTGGCTTGGGTCATTTTAGCTTTTCGTTTTGCTTTGTTATTTTCACTTTCGGTTCGATTTGGATACCATGGTAACGGCTTGACAAGTAATATCATTCCTGCGATAAATTATGAAATTATCAGGGGCCAACTGGTTGATGTTAATAACACTGAAAGTTGAAATGCTTAACTTGAACACTGACATTTTCTTTACTGGCTTATTTCGAGAGCTAGAGAAAGATTCAATAAGTGTTCAAATTCCCTTAAGATTAAAATGCTACTTTAAAATACGGCCTCTAATCTTCGCGAAAAGATTTTAAAAAAATTTCTAATTTATCAAACATTATGCACAGCTGTCACGTTTAATCATGAATCTTAATGTCATTTTCGCATGAATTTTTATGCTAACTGCATGGAAAAAACACATGACTACGTTATAGAGAATGCATACGAGTCACAGGCGAAGGTAAATTGCTGGAGGTAAGAAAAAAGAAAACGTTTATTAACAGCCTTAAGTTTAACACTTCAGTTAGGACAAGGCCAAAATCGAAGTCATAACAATCCCGTTGTGAAACGTAGCAGTTGAAATATTACGGCGATGAAAATGTTGCGTCAATCTATTGTTTGATCTAAAACGTAACGTTTAGTTTAACAATATTTATTCAACGCCAGAACATTCTTTATCATCTAGATAGCATTAAGCTGATCCCCCTTTTTAAATCATAGTTGAAAGCCCAAAAATTAACAATGAAAATAAAACCAACAAGGGCAAGATGTGTCCTTGTCATCAATTATACATGGCCATTGATAATACAAAATGTTGATTCACTTGTGTAATTTGTTTTTACTGTCTTATGCTTTTAATTTGACAGAAAAATAATCTTCTGCCGGAAATCGCTTTAGATTTAAAAAAGTTCGCTTGGTTTACTTTGAACTGAATTCGAATATTCATGGTAAAAATGTTCCTATGGTTCAAAAACTGTAGAAATTTTCAGCGTTTTCAAAGGATACGCATAAATAATTTTACTTAATGTCAAAAACACGAAAGCATTAACATCTGCCTACGTTGTGTTTGTGTCTCTTTTTGAAGGGAAGAACGTAAATAAAGATTTGTCGATCAATGCTTTTGACCTTTAAAAAACCCATGTGTTGCGGGTTTTTTCTAAATTTTTCTGAATCGCGATGACAGATCGGCTGATAATTTTCTAGAATTCCAGGTTTCTCTTTCCATGTCGAGCTTCTAAGCAACTTGGGATTTTATGGTGCATCGTGAGTTATCAGTCGGTTTTAGTCATATTTTCGAGTTTAGTTGATCTAGTTGTCATTCTTTGGCATTTCAAAGTGTCTCAAAATGCTTTCGTTCAAAAGATCTTGGAAGGTGTTTACAGTCGTGTTGAAATATCCATGCATTTCTTTTGTTGTTATTCTATTTCATTGTTTTTTTTTAATGTGTCGTCTGATATGAGCAGATTTTAGGAAATAAAATTTCAAACACCCACCAACTTCACAACTGTCCTCAAATTAAGAAAGATGTTTTTTCGTCTTGTCACGAGCGTGGGACAAAGAAAAAGTTCTGAGTCCCCATGAGGAATCGAACCTCAGACCTTCGGATTTGCGCTCCGATGCTCTACCACTAAGCCACAAAGACTCTTCGGTGAGTGGGATCTATTAGGAAGTTCTAATGACACACATCCTGCATACTGCTAGGATCAGCAATGTCGATAGCGTAATGTTTTTGACAGAAAAGTAGAGATGGTAAGTTTTGAGCTCGGTGATGAGGTTCGATTCCTCATGAGGACTCAGAATTTTCTTTGTCCTACGCTTGTGACAAGACGAAAAAACATCTTTCTTAATTCTTCACCGAGCTCAAAACTTACCATCTCTACTTTTCTGTCCTCAAATTGTACTCAAAAGGTCAATTTGTTAAATTAAAACTGTTCAAAGATGCCTCCTCGCAATATTCTAGGATTGATCTCTTTGCTAAAAATGAAAAGGTCACGGAAAGTTATCAGCTACGTATATAGAAGAAGTTATGGAACATTCTCATTGATATTTTTGTCAAGGGAACGTAAAATTTCAAATCTTACTTAAGAAAGAATCTGTAGTCTCAGCTACATCGTGTGCACGAACGTGAGCTGACAACATCACTCAAGCTAAATGGTCTTCTAGTTGGAGCAAAAGAAAGGGTAAAAACCAAAACTGATGCGAATCATTGAAATAATAACCATAAAAAAGTACAGTTTTTACAGTTATTTAATCGGCAAAGGACTGGTCAGAGAAGGCCGCAGTCGCTATTTAATTACAACAAGAAGGCTTACGAAAACATCTGAAAGAGAGCTTTGTATGTTCTCCGCGATCGGCACATCCTCAGTTCTTCAAATAAAGTTGACCACCTGGAAAAAAACATTATTCTTTGAGGAAACATGACGAGGTGTTTCATTGACAAAGTATGCATATTCATTGATATAGCTAATTTCAGCTTGAAATTTAAATCATGATCGCAGCTTTTATATTCTGAGTGAATTTGGTGAAACTGGTGTTTTCTAAATTTTCGTTTGTACAGTTTTACCCGGCATCTGCAAATCACCAATCACCATGTATGCTAAAACTGAAAAAGTCGCCGCCATATGAGAGCTATCATTAAGATCAAATCGAGCGATGCCTAGTTTTTGGTGTGCAAATGACTTTTAAAACGTTTCTCTCAGCAGAGAAATATGAAAAAAGATAATTTCCTAATTATCCATTTGTATTGGAAGAATAGAACTTTAATAAACATAACAGTCTTTTCAAAAACATACCCCCACTCTCCCCTTCCTAAAATCTATTTGCCAGTCGCATTTATCGATTCAGTTTCAATGGAGACCTGGAGATCCATAACTGGGTATTTCTTTCCTCACAATAACATATACCATCACTTAAATACCCTTAATGGAAAAATAATAATAACAGACAAAATAATAACCTTTTATGTGATAAGCTGAGCTGTTCACGCGTTTTGATTGGTTATCACTTATAATCTCTAAGAGAACAGACGCATAGATGACGTCACCATTAGCAATTTTTTGCTTCTTAACTATGTGAAACAAATTGATTCCATTTTACCATGTGAATGTGCAGTACTAGGTCACAGAAACGTTTAAATGCGGTAAGAGCATTAGTGAGGTGACACACGCGGCTGCGCCTCGAGTGCAAATTTTTTGGTGTTACCACATCTTGACGTCATCTGTTATCCATTAGTGACCAGACATCATAGTACCTATCTGTTAAATTTGTAATACTAATACAACTTTCAACTAAAGTTTGTTTTGAAAAAAATGACGAATGAGTGCGGAAATTAGAGAACTCTTTATCAAAAGACAAATAAAGAAGTCTCAGCTGTTTTTTGCTCTGCTTCGAAACATTTAAGAAGGGGCTGCAGCACTCAAAAACTACATAAAAACACTTCATTTAATCTCGTATTTCTCCCGCTTCCCATTTTTTCGAGCCCTAGTTGCCACTTCTTCTGTGCTTTACAACCGAACAGACTACAGTTGATGCGTCTTTATTTGCCGTACGTTTGCAAATTGCTGAAAAAAAGTTAGTATTTCCTAGGAAAATGTTTCGAAAGAAACTTGATCAGTAAACGGAAATTAGCTTCAAAAGTCAATTCAACGGCGAAAAAGCTTTAAAAAATTAACAAGAGAATTGCGGCTAAGGTAAATGTGTTATTTCATTATAGTGCACTTGAAAACGTGAACAAAATGACAGAAATGCTTTTAATTACTTGATTTATACAGTTAAATTGACGTCGACGTCCTTCACAAGCTAAAGAAAAGGTGCTTTAACATTCATGACAAACTCCTTAAAACCACTCATATTATTCCTTCTTAAATTACATAATAGGGCAACCAAATTTCAGTTCTTGCATTAATCAAAGCCCAAACAAATTACAGCTCTCAAAGCAATTTTAATGTCCAACAATAACTTTTGCAATTGTTTACCATTCAGTAGATTTGGAAGGCTGCCATTTTCAAAGCACTCATACGTTACATCATTTTTTACTATTGTTTCGCCGCTTCAACAACACTTGAAGATGACAGACTGTTCATACAAACACAGTCTCGAGAAAATATTCATTGTGTGTTTTATTTTTTAGGGTTTTTTTTTTTCAAGTTTCATGCGAACAAAAGATTGAAAACATCTGTGAAGCTTAGCCGTGTCATGGCCACTGCAAAGATTCGTTATGCGTTGATGTGATTATTATGTTACATCGCCTTAACAGATAACGACAGAAATCAGTTACAACAGCAAGCCGACAGTCACGCGTAGAATGTCTATGGAAAAATCTGTGCTTCGAACAGCGCTGACTTTTGGAGTTACTCGTCGCTTTTTGGTACCCAAGTGTTTCATTTTGTATTCTGCCTGTGTTCAAGTGTACACTTCAGCCACCGGTGCAGCGCCAAATCAAGGTTCTCCGGCTTTTTTGCGAGCGTCTGTAAGCCCCTCTCCATCTGTAAAATCCATTGCGAGAACTACAAGACTTGTTGTGGAAACAACGGCATTGAAGATGTTTAATTCAACAAATATGAGTTTAATGAACATGCCGAAACCTTCCAGTGAAGTTCTAGTCTCAAGCAGACAGACAACAGTGGTTATTGAATCGTCCATTAGGACTAATACAAACTTTAGAGGCAATGGCGAGCCAACAAACAGAGTACGCGTTGAACATGCTGATGAGGACAAGAGCGTCGTATTCTACAGAAAGGTACGTTGACTAGTGTGTTTGGCTCGACACAATTATCACCTCTTAACCTACCAATTACGATAACTAACCTAATTCAATTTATTTCATTCATTTCTTCCCTTGGAAAAATTAGGTCTTGCTAGTTAAGGAAGGACTGTGCAAGAGCTTGCGCATTTATCGTGACATTGTGATGGTTTCTGAAATTCCATTACCATACGCTTCAGATTCCAATCGGCACACTACATCGTATTTAAGGAGATAGGCGAAAAAGTTATTCCGCCGGCGGATAGGTGCAAGGGACTATACCAGATCTTAGGAAAAAAAAAAAGGAAAAAATTACCCTGTCTAGCGTGCTTCCCTGTATGGTCATGTATGAGCCATACACCGGGGGAACTTAGTCCCCCACCCCCCCGTCCCAGGGTGTAAATTTGCATTTACGTAACGAAGGGGGGAAATACAACGTGTTTATGGTTTTCAAATGGCTGCTTTTCGTAAACTTGCCCCGTTTACTTGGGATAGAATTCTAACGAGCTAGACTCAATCAAACTGTTTCAGTATTCCACTCTCGTATTCGCCTATGTACAACGGGTGTGTAAAAAGCTACTCTGCAAATTTTGTAAGAAATCACATCTACATTGTGATTGGTTGTTGCTAAGTGCTGACTTAAAAGGTCATTCAAGGTTGCGTTGATCATGTAAACCGATCAACGTCCCAAATCACTTAAAGTCATTGGCATTTTCTATCGTTTAAATAATGCAATTTAATTACCAAGTCCCTATAGTTAAAATAGAACTAAAGCGGTATAAAATGTACTAAATGCAAGACGACACAAAACCAGAAATTAACAACGACATTTAAAGGCCAAAAAATAGCTGGCGTTGTTCTGATCTTTCACTCAAATAGCTGTGTTTTTTTAACAAGATAATTTGGTTATATCAACTGAGTTGATAATGTAAATTAGCCACTGTAAAGAGTCTCAAAGCTGACGTTTCGAGCGTTAGTTTTTCGTCAGGGCGAGTTTTCTATACATATGTGTAACGGGATCGCTTGACTCTCCATGTATATACAGCTGCTTCAAGAAATTTTGTTGGAATAAAACAGGACAAAAGTGCACGTGACAATCTCGAAACAGTTGAATACGCACACAGCGATCAACTTGCGTGAGTTTGAAATTTGCTCTAAGAAATGGTTAAGATCAAATTGAAAACGAAAAAATTTACAATTCAGATTCTGGACTTGGACCTTTAGTCGAGTGAAAACACCTTCACTGTGATTTTTTTTAGCCGACTATTGGTGTCAGAGATCGATATCCTCCTAAAGGGAACCTAAGCAAAGGCATCTCATGCAATATCTATTCTTTCTTCTTCAGATTGGCGGTTGGATAACCCTGGGCATTGTATCTACCACCCTTTTGTTTCTCATAATCACTCATTTTAGCTCTATATATCACGTCAATCAGAGAGGACGGATACCGGATCCATACTGTTCCGTGTCTCAAAAATCACAGGATATTTGAATGGTTGGGCTCATCGTCGACGTGCAACTGATCGGCTGCAGGCGGCAAGCGTATGGGACTGGTGCTAATATCTCACAAACACAGAACTTTTGTAAGAATCCAGTCGAAACAATTCTTGAAGTGGTGGACATGTCGAGTTATTCGCTAGGATGTAGAATGATCACTTTCGACGAAGAATTGAGTCAAGAAGTATATTAGACATTTGCGTTTGGGGAGTGTATTACTTACGATCGAAAAGTTACACCTCTGTTGAAAAATAGGAACTTTTAGAGTTAGGGTTCTATTTTATTTCATTTATTTATTCATTTACAAAATTTAAACAGACTGGCTCAATTCAGCTTCAGAGCTGGTTTCAATAAGGGCCTGTATAAAACAACAAGGCCAGACCACAACACCGGGAGCTATGTTCCACACGCTTTGCGAGAAGTGCAAGGGATCCTTAACGTACCCTGCTAACCAGTACAGAGAATATGCAAGCGTCGGGGCCCATGATATATCGTCCTTATCTGAGAAGACTAGAATTTCTAACCATTTTCGAGGCTAAAACCCTCGACTTCCTGCATTGTAGTCAGGTGTTCTACAACACGAGCTAACGAAACCACTGAAATTAAAATAAAGATAATCTGATATACTGAGAGATCAGCAGGAAAAAAAGCATGCTGAGCATGGAGCGACCTAGCTTCTTTTGTGATTATCTCAGTGATTTTTATTTTATTTCAGAAATGCGCAAAGTTCAATAAGAGAGGTTGCAGGATGCATTCTGACTTATCAGGGTGTCTGAGCTACTTGCGCTTATGAATTAAAACTAGCTCTCTTGATCTAGCCGTACCGCTCACAATCAACAAAGGAGGATTTGGAGCCTTCAACCTATTAGTACAATGTCTAATGCAAATTCACAACTGAGATTTTGGAAGCTTGCACGCCATGTTTCTAAAAGGAGCCGCAAGCGAATCCAACGTCATACATCATTAGAATAGAAGCATCTTCATTACTAACTCTGCTCTGAGTAATTATTTGGTTTTATCTTTTATTATTTTTTTTCTACCAAGATCAACCCATTTTGTCAATAGAATTAATTGTCACTCGTAGGTACACAATTTTCTGAATTTAATGACTTGATTATGTAACATGTTCTGAGATGTATACGAAAAGAAATCGCCAGTTTCCTCGCTGGATAGGCTCGAATTTAAAGAAGCAGTCGCATTGATTGTTTTTGTCAATATTGTCTGTTATCACGAACACCTATTGAATTGGATAAATACAGTTTGAGAAAGATCTGGCACATGAAACAACTGCTCCGTGTTAAAAATAGCTAAAGATGAATTCATTATGTGAAGCTTAATGCGTCTTACGCAAATAACGGTTTGAAATTTTTCTATGAAATTCCAGCAAATAACAGCTTTACTACGATTAAGAAAATCGTTGGGATACATCTGTGTTTTCGATCAATATAAAGTTATTAATAATGCCAAGTTCACCACCTTCGGTTCATCTTGATAACTTAATCATCGTTGCTCTAGCTGTTACTTTTTGATTCAAGCTCTGTTCACTTTTTCATAATTTTTGTGAATTCTTGTCGTGCGTGTAGAAGATTAAGTTTTCCCACGTATCAAGCATCCATAAGTTAAGTATATGAGGTGTTAATTCAAGTTGTACTCATAATCAATGGAACATTGCAAATTGACGAACATGAATAATGTATATCTGATATTTCTTTGTTGAGTGCATCACCACAATTTCATGTCTATTATCCGTAATTCATCACACGAAGTAAAGCTTTCAGTGTTACTCCGTTATCTGTGTTTCCCGCATTTGTTTACGCTTCGCCTCCATAAAAGTTCACGAAAAGTTATAATTAAATGGCCACCATTGTGTGCCATTTATAATAGAGTTGTTGTTTCAGTTACGCAAACAAAACCGACTTTATAATAATTGCAACGAAGACAAGAATCAAGGTCATGTAAGCCGCAAACAACTCCAGATCGAACGTTTCTTTTTCAAGGCTTGTATCCGTAAGGTTCATGGCATATCAGTATTACAAATCGTACATCTTTGAAGTTGAACTCCAGTCTTTACATGTACAAGATCGCGGCGAAGAGTTGGATGTCGTAGGATATTTGAGGATGAATTTAATCCATGAGCTATATCCAGTGCAATTTAGTTGGTGTGGACATCAAAGAAACGGACAAACGTTACCTTAAACATCAGCGACTCCACGCAAAGACTTTCCTTATCACGGAATGCTTATTAATTTTTGACTCTGAGCATCTTTGACTTATTTCAGATCTTTTATGTTTGTTACTGATTGGTAAATCAGAAAGACAAAACAGCTTTTGAAATTTTGTTCTGGTTCGCTGGAGCCCAAGGAGAATGACGTCACCAAT